CCCCCATACCAAATAAATAAATAAATAAAATTAAAAATAAAATTTTGAGATAGGGTTTTGCTAAATTGCTAAACTGCCCAGGTTTGGCTCAAAATTTTTTTTTTTTTTTTTTTTTTTTTTGCCCCTGAGCTAAATTCCTGGCCCATGGGCTCAAACTTTTAACCTTCGCATCAGAGATAAGACTAAAGCCAGGCCTTGGGCATAGGCCTGTAATTCCAGCACTTGGGAGGCTGAAGAAGGAGGCTGAGAAATAAAGATCATCAGGTTTGAGGCCAGCCTGGGCTACATAGTGAGTTCAAGTCCAGCCTCAACTATATAGTGACACCCTGTCTCAAAACAAAATTAAATAAAATAAAGTACAGGGCAAAAAACTGGTTTATTTTACTTTCTACTGGCATTTAAGAAACCACCAGAGCTGGGTGTGGTGGTGCAGACCTGTAATCCCAACACTCTGGGAGGTGGAGGTAGTAGGCACTGTAAATTTGAGCCTAGCCTGGGCAATGCAGCAATTTAGCAAGAAGGTGTCTCAACATAAAGGGCTGGAGATGTAGCTGGGTTCAGTTCCCAATATTGCAATACATACATACATACATACATACATACATACATACACTTATTTAAAAAAAAAAAGAAAGAAAAGGAAAAAAGAGAAACTCCCTTTGTTCAATGGGTTGTAAGCCTCGCAGATTAAAGATGCTGTGATACTCACTGAATGGGTCCCATTCTCTGCCCAGAAATTCTGGCTTCTGGCTGCTTCAGGATCCTTGTCATGTTTTCAGGCATAACCCCCACCCATCCTTCTCCCTTCACAGATCTCTGTGGGTACCTGCCTCTCTCTTCTGATATAGTGAACCCCAACCTTGAGGACCTTTCCTGTGGATCACATTGGGCTTGTTACTGACAAATCTAGTCTCTTGCTCATCTTCTACTCTTTTGAAAGGTTTGCCTCATTTTCATCATCTTTGGGATGTGAAATGGAGGGCTAGGAGGTGAGTAGTTGCAGTGAAGGATTTTCAGTCTTTCCCAGCTCTGACATCCAGGGACACTCAGGGATTCTACAAAGGGCGAAGCATCCCTGGGGGGGGTGGTGAAATAGTTAAGATGGGGTGCCTATCTTCAAGGAGTTTGTAGTTATTTAAATGTGATGCATGCATAAAAAACTCTGATGATTCAAAGTAAATATACTACTGTAAGTGTGGCATAAAATTATTGGAATTCATTAGAATTTCAAGGAGATAAGAGATTCCTTCTGGAGGCAGATGGGGCTGGTGAAGAGAATAAAGTCAATTCCTTAGCTCTTTCTCAGGACTGGCAGCACCAAAGCTCTCAGCCTCCTGACCAAACAATTCTGGTTGTCTGCCTCCCTCCCATCCCTACAGGCAAGTCACCCCTTCCCAGACATCCTGTCTGGCAGGAAGTCTGTTCAGGTGTTCCCTAGATTCACATCCTCTGTCTTAGTTACTTTTTCTTGTTGCTGAGACAAAATACCCAACACCCAAAGTTAAAGGAGGAAAGGTTTATTTAGCTCACAGTTTGTAGAGGTTTCAGTTCATAATTGGTTGGCTCCAAGGCAGAGTGGCAACATGGGAGAGGGCGTCCCATAGGAGTAACAGTTCATGGTGCCTATAAGGTAGCAAAAACAAGGGGCCTTAGCAGCCTTTTTCTGCCCCTTTTATCATACAATTTTTTTTTTTTTTTTTTTGGAACCAGGGATGAACTCAGGACCTTGCTTTCGAGGCCGACAGCAGAACCACTGAGCTAAATCCCCGGCCCTTTCTGCCCCTTTTATACTCTTATCTAGGCTACTGGGATTCGGGCAGTGCCAAATCAATTAGTGGACTGATTTAGTAATCACACACCCTTAATCTCACCATTTGTACCATGGTCTCACCAAATTACTAAATTGCTTGGACTGGGCTTGACTTGCAATCCTCCTGCCTCAGCCTCCCAGACTGCTGGTATTATAGGCATGTGCCATCAAACCTGGCATAGAAATCTTAAATTTCCTGAGAGCATGGAGGAAGAAGAAAGGGACATGGTAAGAGTCTGGTGGAGAACATGGTTTAGGCCAAGGCAGAGGGCCAAAAAGCCCAGCGAAAAGCCAACACTAAGCCATTGTGGTGGTGCGTGCCTGTAATCCTTGTGCTTGGGAGGGAGAGGCAAGAGGACTTCCACAAGTTCCCTCAGCTACATAGGGAGTTCAAGGACAACCTGGACTGCATAGCAAGACCCTGTTACCAAATCAAACCAAGCCAAACCAAACCAAAGCAAACCAAACACTAAAGCTGGAGGAGGTCTGTCTGGGAGGGCCTGGATATCAGACCCGGAAGACTACACAGCAGGAAGACCAGAGGGAGAACTCCCTAAGTGGGAAGTTTCTCAGAAGGCCTCCCACAAGGACCACACCCAGGAGCCCTTAGGGGACAATTCTGGCGGAGGAGGCCCGGGGACCCATGAAGTTTACGGTGAAGGGGAGGGCAGGGCTTTTTTTTTTTTTTGGTACCAGGGGTTGAACTCAGAACCTTGCGATTGTGAGGCAGGTGACGGAACTACTGAGCTAAATCCCTGGCCCCTTAGGGTAGGGCTTTTAAGGCTACAACTCCTCCCAGTCACCTCTTCAACACTGAACTCCATTTTCTACCAGCTGCAGAGGAGAGAGGCACTGTGGTACTGTGGTTACAGTGCAGACTAGGCCATGGACAGCCTGGGTCTGAGGCCTGGTTTCTTCTCCACTTCTTAACTTTGTATACATTATTTTTGGGGGGCCTTGATTTCCACATCTGTGGAAATATAATAGTACCTACATGATCACATGATCGGGCTGGGGATTTAGCTCAGTGGTGCCACTGCCTGACTCGAAAGTGCAATGTCCTGAGTTCAATCCCCAGTACCAAAAAAAATAGTACCTACATGATATGACTGGCTGGAGGGTTAAGAAAATCAGTTAAATATAATTAACACACTACTCTCACAAATAGCTATTAATTTATATACAAATCAGTCAAGTATTTTGATTCATGTTGTTCCCAAAGTGCTTTTTCTCCACCTCTCAAATCCTTCCCACTCTTCAAGGTCAACAAAGGCCTAAAACGCAATAAAAGTATGGAGGCTGTACAGAGTATAGGTTAAGAACATGGATTTGGGAGCCAGCGAGCTTAGGCTTGAATCCTGGTTCCTATAATGTTGGGCAAATTATCTCATCTTCAGTTAGTTCATTTGTAAGTGAGGACAACTATTATGGAGAGCTAAGTTAGGTAGAAATATTCTAGGCAGTCAGACAGGATTAGACCCTCGAGGGAGTCAGTGCAGAGGATAAGAACACATTACAACTGTGGCTGGACGTACATCTGTTGAAGGCCAAGTCTAAGATAAAAACAAAATGCCCTGACCTAAATGCCTCTCCAAAGGACAAGCAATAAATTGAAGATTATACTATAATTGGTATCACCTGATCCAATAAAGTCTAGATAGACATCAGTCACCCATAAGGGTGACCAGGACCTCCTGATCCATATCTCCCTAAAAAGGTCCTTGTTCTTTCCATATACCCTTGCTACATGAACTGCTTCCTCACTGGATTAATATTACCTAAGCAGCTATACTTGTAATCTTATTTGTTGGTCATAGTTTTGACTCATGCTGTACCCACCTCGTGATTTGGTACCCACCTTGTGATTTTGCTCTATAAAACTTCCTCTGTGAAGTGAGTTCTACAGCAACCCACTTTCAGGTCCCTTCCTGTCTCTCAGGAGCTATCTATCTCAATAATTTGTTCCTACTCTTAACCTCTACTGTTCCTTAGAATTCATCTTTCCATTTTGGGGAACATGAACTTGGCCTATCTGACGTCTAGCAGGTTGGGAGTTACAATATTTCCCCTGTATCAAAACCCCAGTACTTGCTTCAGAAGGTCATTATGAAGACAGGAGGACTGACTGAAAGCTTAGGAGCATTTTCAAGGATGGCTGGAATGGAGCAGGTACGATTTCAGTGCATGGTAGTTAAAAACTTCTAGGTTGTCAAGGTATAGTACACAGCAGGAAAATTAACTATTAAACGTGGCTCTTTTTTGCCCTCTGGTCGCCTTGAAGGGCAGGGATGGGCAGTTAACCCATCCTTGGCTTTAGTCCCTAGCCTGGCCCATATTTCCTGTTCATTAAAGAGGCTAGATTGAAATTAACCAGGAGTCATCGACCTGTGCAGGAGAAAGCCATCCACAAAGGCAGATAAACTCCTGATTGGGCAAGGAGATATACAGGCAGTGACTAAAATCTGCTCTTCTCTGGAATATCTGAAGAGGCTTACCGTTTGCCTGGTCATTGGAGGAAGACGCTTCAATTTGAGATGTATTAAAGCTTGTGGAATTGGGAGTCAGCAGCCCTGTGTCAGATATCGAACACGGCTTTGGAATCAGCAGTCAGTCAGGGTCATTATATGTTAAAATAGGAGTAAATAGCCTACTGTCTTACTGAAGTGAAATAGCAAGAGCAGCAACTAATGTTTACTGAAGATTTCACACAGATACCGATAAAACTTACTCCATTTTACGGATGAGGCTGATTTTTCGCGACCTCCCGCAGATACAAAGCAAACAAAATGGAAGAGTGAAGATTTGAACGCAGATGTATTAATCAAACTGCTCAAGGGTGAGGCAGTGACCTGGCGGGGATAAGAGTGGTACAAAGGATGGAGAACAGGTCCTGCGGGTCACGGACTCAGCGGCAGGAGAGCGGGCCGTAGCTTCCCCTCCCCACAGCGCGTAGCTCAGTAGCTCCGCCGCCCCTCGAGCTTACGTGCGCTCCGTGACCGCCGCGCCGGACGCGGGGCTGACAGCGTAGTGCGCATGGCCCTGGCGTCCCGGAGGAGTACTCCCCCCCCTCTAGGCGGTCGCAGCGCCAGGAAGGGACGCATGCGCACACTTGGAGGGCGGAGGGAGGTCCTGAACGAGTGGAAAGATTTGGTAGAGAAAGTGCGCGGGAGTCCGGGGTGGGGGGGTGCTAGCGCGCAGGCGCGGCCGGGTTGGAGCGTGTGTTGGGGCGGGGAACTGCCCCCAGAATCTCAGCGAGCTATAGTCGGCACTGCATCTCTAACCCGTCGCCATGGCCGCCTATAAACTAGTGCTGATTCGGCACGGAGAGAGCGCCTGGAACCTGGAGAACCGCTTTAGCGGCTGGTACGACGCTGATCTGAGCCCGGCCGGCCACGAGGAGGCGAAGCGCGGCGGGCAGGCGCTACGAGGTACGGCCGCGCCGGCTGCTAGCGGCGGTGTGTAGGGCCCGGTGCGCGGCCTGGAGGCCGCTTGGCTCGCACCCGCGCTTTTGGGAGGGCAGCCCTGGGAGGCGGCCTTCCATCAGCTTGTTCACTGGTGCGGAGGTGGGCGCGGGGTTGGGGAGTCAACTTGCTCAAGGTCACCCAGTGGCGCGGGAGGCCGGCGAGAGGACGGGGCGGTCGCAGCCCATTGAACTGTTCAGGACGCTCCCTGGCGAAGTTCTCCCATTTTGGTTTGAGGGTTCACCAACTCCGGGACGAGTTGACACGCTTGGAGCCACCTGTGAAGGCCAGGCCTTTTAGGGTCACTCCCAGGGCCTGAGGCTCCTGCAGGAGGATGCCCGGGCACCTAAGAGCGGCAGTATCGAAGGTTTCTCAAGAAGCTGCTGCAGATCCCAGAGAAGGTTCATGGCAGCATGCACGTGCTTGTCCCCGGCAGCGGGGGGTGGGGGGTGGGGGGGAGTGACGCTTTAGGACATCAAGAAATACTTATGCTTGTATAGAATTGCAATTCAGCAGCATGCCATAAACACTGCGTCCAACATGCATCCACAGATGTAATTGAGTGAATGAATGAAGGATTGTAGTTGGCGCTCTTTACAGCCCCATAAAATGAGCATATCTTACTCCCCTCTTTCTCATCCCTTCCTGGCCACCTTTATGGTTGGAAAGAGTGAGGACTGGAAAAATGACTTGTTTAAGGTCATATCTACTTATTTTTCGTCCAGTGTTCTTGCTCTATTTCTGGGTGGAGTAGCATGTAATTGTGAGAAACTGGTGGTGGCCTGTTGGCCAAAGACAAAGTCTGGGCAAAGGGTGGAAGTGGCCGAGATAATGCTGACCTGTTTGCTTATCCAGACTTGCCGCTGCGGCTATTCTCTGTGATTTTGGAATGCTAATAAGGAAGCATTCCCTGCTGCCAGCAATTCAATAATCCCTGGACTGAAGAGTTGCTTCCACTGATGATTAGGGCAGATCATGTTTTGCTGTCTTTTAACCTCTGGACAAAGAAGCAGCTTTATAAAAGGGCTATTGATGCCTGGTTGGCGTGGCGCTAATATTTAAATGGCCACAGATTGTCCTTCCTAGCCTTTTGCCTTTACTGTACACCCATGTGAAATGAAGTGTGTGTGGGGTAGGAAATGAAGTAAAGATTTAGAAAACCTAGGGAATGTAATCCTGTTGGGGGCACGAGAATGCTATGGGACGGCCTATTGTAACCGTCTAGGAGAGGCCTGGAAAGGAAACACGCTGGTAAAGGAAGCCATTTTCTTTAGCTCTGGCAGGAAGAATTGTATAGGTCTATGGTGGCCAGCTCGTGCCTATCCTAGGACAGAGTAAATTTACTTCTGTCCTCTTAGATGATCAAAGGTTAAACTTGTAACCTCCGTAAAACAACAGACCGCATTTCAATTTTAAAATAAATATTGGTAGGATTAAGTTTTAGAAGATAGGATGTAAATTATTAATATATAGCATGGGTATTACAGATGCTTAAAGACTAAAGGCAAAAACTGAATGATGAAGACCATTATGAATCTGAAAGGTCTGAGATATATATTAATCACGCTTCCATTGATATGATTTGTAGTCTTGAATCTGATTTCAGGTGGAAGTGAGAACTGAGTTTCACCTTGCAACCTTAAGGCTGAGAAAGGGAGGGATTTCCCTGCGGGAGAGTAGACTCTACACTTGTGTCCACTCCATCCCAGCTATTACTTTAATGGGCAAGCCAAAGAAAGGCATTCATTCTGCTACTGATCCTTCAGGGTTCTCTGTTAAAGAGTCCTATGAAGAAAGGCTTTTCTCCTTGGGGACTATTTGTGAATTCAAAGTGAGACATTCCACTGCAAGTGGAAATAATTGCAGTGAAATAGCCTGTAGTTTTTATCATGGGAGCTGAGGCTTGCACTATGGGTACTCGCTTCCGAGTGACTCAGCCTTTTGCTGGGGAGCCATTCTTCCACTTACGGTTAGGGAGGTGACGGGAACCAAGTCTAGCCGGATTATCCTGAGGCTTAGGGATGGGATCTGTCTTTGCTCTGTGGTGGTGGGTTTCCTGGTGGTTAATCCCCCATCCCCCATTGGCTAGTTTATAGTAGCCTCATTTTCACTGAATGACTGACAGGGAAATTTACATTTTAATTACTGTTGCAAACCTCAGTATGAAGCAATACCCAGGAAAGTTTGTGCTGAATTTTGAAGAGGACCTTGAGTTTTTTCCTGGCTCACTGCATAGGAAAGGTTCATCTCCTACTTTAGAAGGGAAGAAGAATAAGCTTTCATGAAAAAGATTCATTGTAACCTATTGGTTAGGCCGACATAACTCAATTACACCCTCCCCTCCCCCAACTGCTATGTATTAAAGAGACATTGGAGAGATTTGTTTATAAAGGAATCAGATTGCCAGCGTTTGGTTTCTTCAGTGAATAGCTTCTAAATTTGGTTTGACACTTAAATTGAAGTTGGTATGTTCTTCTAAAGGAAGAGGCTGGCACTTTGGCAGTAATAAAGAGAAGCTATAGATTATGAACTTTCACACTCCTTAATGGACATACAATTTCTGAAGTTTATCAGCAACCTCCAGGAGCTCTTGGTATGTCCTGATTGTTGGGATTTTAAAGTTCCATTTTTCTGGGATAAGTCTAGAAAATAGCTATCAGAAGTGACAACTCTGTGTCCCAGGTATGGTGACATATGCCTGTAATTCCAGCACTGTGGGAGACTGAGGGAGGATTACAAATTCTAGCCCAGCCTGGGCAGTTTAATAGCTTAGGGAGACCATGTCTCAAAAAGTATTTTATTTTTTTCTGGTATTAAGGATTGAACTCAGGACCTTGCACTTTTGAGGCAGGTGTGATGCCACTGAGCTATATCCCCGGCCCCTCAAAAAAATAAAAAAAAAACCCCAAAAATCACCCCCCCCCCCAAAAAAAACAATTAAAAGGGCTGGGGCGTAACTCAGTGCAAAGGGGGAGGGTAGCTAGAGATGGTAGTTAGGAGTTGGATTTTGAAGTTACACAGCCTAGGCTGTGACCTTGGATAATTTAACTCCCACATCTTTATTTCCCTCATCTGGTAAAATGGGTTGTAAAGAACGTAACTTCATAAAATTGTTATGAAGACTTCAGTAAAACATTCAGTGCCTGACCAATGAATGGTAAGCCCTCCAGAAATGTTAGTTATCATTTAGGAAGAGAACTGAGTTTTTAGAATCTCTACATAAGTGAAGAAGAAATAAATTCTTAAAATGTGTTTAAGCATAACATTTTGGGCAATTAGCATAAGCAGCACAAGCTTCAGGTCAGCTAGTACATTTAGGCCTTGGGGTAGATGAATTGTTGGGGAACTACTGTTATCTGTAACAAATCAATAAATTTTGTCTTCCTTGAAGATATTATAATTACTGAAAGAATATACAAAAGAAAATATTTGGCCAAATAATTTCATTTAGACTATCTGTATAAGATTTTTTTTTTTTTTGGTGCCAGGGATTGAACTCTGGTCCTTGGGCTTTTGGGGCAGGCGGCGGAACCACTGAGCTAAATTCCTGGCCAAGATTTTTTTTTTAAGGAGAAGAGGTTTATTTTGGCTCATGTTTCACAAGTTTCAGTCCTTGCATGGTTGGCAGCATGGTGGAAGGATCTGGCAGAGGAAAGCTGTTCATGTTGTGGCTGCTAAGAAGCAGAGAGCCTGAATAAGATTGTAAAAAAAATTGTGGCTAAGAATGAACCTCATTAGCTTATCACTTGTAACTTTTAATTTACAGATGCTGGCTATGAATTTGACATCTGTTTCACCTCAGTGCAGAAAAGAGCAATCCGGACCCTCTGGACAGTACTGGATGCCATTGACCAGATGTGGCTGCCAGTGGTGAGAACTTGGCGTCTCAATGAGCGGCACTATGGGGGTCTGACTGGCCTTAATAAAGCAGAAACTGCTGCCAAGCACGGTGAGGCTCAGGTAAAGATCTGGAGGCGCTCCTATGATGTTCCACCACCTCCGATGGAGCCTGATCATCCCTTCTACAGTAACATCAGTAAGGTATGGACAAACCCAGGTTTGGTCACTCTAACAAGGATCAGGGAGTTAGAATCTGAGCTTCACTTTAACTTGCATAAGCATCTGTTTAGTCCCATTGACCTTATAATTCATGATAAAGTAGTTAACGGGGGTGCCTTGTTTCATCCTTCTCTCTTTTTTTTGAGACATGCTCTCACTGTGTAGTTTAGGCTGACCTGGATGGCACTCACTGTAGCCCATTCTGACCTTGAACTCATGGGCAGTCCTCCTGCCTAGCCTCCCAAGTTTTGAGATTACAGGCATGCACCACCATGCCCGGGTCTCCTCATGACTCTCAAAAAAAAAGGGATCTTCCTTTTGCCAAGGAATGACCTTGTTGGGCAATGACTTTTTTTTTTTTTTTTTTGTACTGGGGATCGAACTGAGGACCTTGCGCTTGTGAGGCAGGTGTCGGAACTACTGAGCTAGATCCCCAGCCAGGAATGACCTTGTTATACGATTTTAATTCATAGTTTATGTTTTTTACCTGAGAATTTCTCTCTTTCTCTTTTTTGTGTGTGGTAACTGGGGTTTGAACCCAGGGGTGCTTTATCACTGAGCTGCACCGACCACAGCCTTTTTTATTTCTTATTCAGGATGGGCTCAAATTTTTGATCCTTCTGTGTCAGCCTTTTTGAGACAAGGTCTTCCTATGTAATCCATGTTGGCCTCAGACTCACAGCAGTCCTCCTGCCACAGCCTCTTGAGTGTGCTGAGATTATAGCCATGAGTCACCCTGTCTGGCCAGCCTTTCAAGTAGCTGGAATTATATGCATGTACCACCAAGACAGGCTTCTATCTCCACTAACATATTTTATAAAATCGAGAGCCTTTGGACTGCAAATTAAAGTGAATTGGGAAGAACTGCATTGCATGACTTTTTTTCTTTTCTAAGTTACATTTCTTTTAAATTGGGTAATGAGAGAGAGAGATGCAGGATTATGATTCCCTTTCCCCAAGCTCTCAGCTACATTCTGGATCCTTGTGAGAAACCTTTACCATTTAACTAACCTCTTAGGAGATGAGGAGCTGCAGAATTGAAACGTTGTGAAAACCATTTAACAGACCCAAGTCAGGCGTGGTGGTGTGTGCCTGTGATGCCAGCACTTTAGAGGCCGAGGCAAGAAGATGATAAGTTCAAGATCAGCCTGGGCTGCAGAAGTCAAGGCCAGCCTCGACTACATGGCAAGATCTTGTCTCAAACAAAACCAAAGAAAAAATATGCAACCAAAAAATGAAAACAGATGCAATCACTCATAACTGGTGAACCTGAAATTTGTGTTTTAGGATCGTAGGTATGCAGACCTCACTGAAGATCAGCTGCCTTCCTGTGAGAGTCTGAAAGACACTATTGCCAGAGCTCTGCCATTCTGGAATGAAGAAATTGTTCCCCAGATCAAGGAAGGGAAACGGGTCTTGATTGTAGCCCATGGCAACAGCCTTCGGGGTATAGTTAAGCATCTGGAAGGTATGTGCTTTTTTTTTTTTTTTTTTGGTACCGAGGTTTGAACTCGGGTCCTTGTGCTTGCACAGCAGGCAGTGAAACTGCTGAGCTAAATCCCTGGCCCTTGGTATGTGCATTTTTTTAGAGCCTTCAAGGATGGATAAAGCAGATCCGCCACTAATGAAGGACTTATTTCATACAAAGGAGATTTCCAGGAAAGGGCTGACATACTCATAGCCTCAGAGACATTCTAGGATTGACACCTAATGGAAAAACATGTCCTATCCTTGTTTCTCAAAGTGTAGTCTGCAAAAGTGACAGCTGGACCCGCTGAGTACTTGATCAGCATTCAGAACCTCAGGTTCTATTCCAGACTTGATCCAGAATTAGCATCTGTTCACAAGTGTTGGGATGCCCTCCTCTAGACTGGGACTGCCAATTGAAACTGCTAATAAATTCTTCAGTCAATGTGGTTTAAGTTCTCATATAAATTTCAGTTTACATCTTAAATTGCTTCATTCCTGAAGACCTAGAGGCCCAGAAGTGTTAGATGGATGTACTATGTAGGTCCTGTATAGCCCTCTATATTATAGGATGCAAGAGATGTGTATAGTCCTGCTTCCCCGTGGGCTTCTGGATCGCACTTTGATAGGAATAGCTGCACTATAGACCTTTCTGTAGTTTGTTGGTGGCCCATCTCAGAATCCTGCATACCCCCTGCATATGTTTTCTTGCTTTTCAGTTTGGTGGCTAGAGAAATTAGGACTAGGGTCCATTCCTTGGGGGATGGATCTACTTGCACAGATCAGAACTATTAGAAAGATTAGCAAGTAAGAGTCAGAGTGAGAGTAAGAGTGTCTTGTTTTAATTCCTAAGAAAGACCTTTGGTGGCTGGGGGATGAGTAAACCCAGAAGGGAGATGTGTATTCACACCTTGTGGGGCTGATCATGGTGGTTATTTCCAGGTCTCTCTGAAGAAGCTATCATGGAGTTGAACCTGCCAACTGGTATTCCTATTGTCTACGAGTTGGATAAGAACTTAAAGCCCATCAAGCCCATGCAGTTCCTAGGGGATGAAGAGACCGTCCGTAAAGCCATGGAAGCTGTGGCTGCCCAGGGCAAGGCCAAGAAGTGAAGGCCAGCAAGCAGCCTGCTACGCCCATCCATCCATTCCTCTGTACCTGTCCCCCACACCCATCACACTGATTACATCTGTAGGCATCTTATATTGTAGTTGCAGATGGGGACCTGTGGCTCCCATTTTCATTTTAGCATTTTAGCTCCTACATCCACTCCCTTGATAGAATCTAGTCAGAATAGTACCTCTAGGACACAAGTTCTCAGTCCAAGCCCAGGGAAGGCTCTTCTTATCCTGGAGAGTTGAGAGGTAGTAACTGTTTTTTCCTAGAGCTTCTGCTTTGTTTACTAAGGATGTGCTTGAGTAGAGGACAGGGAGGAACCATGCCAAGCCATGACCAGTGAGGAGAGGCCAGAGAGCATATTGTGCTCCTAGGAGCCAGCCCTGTACTCTCTAGTCTGGTCACTGTCGGAGAGCTCAAGTCATTCCAGTGGGAGATGAATGTAACCTGCATGGTGATTAAAAAAACAATGATTTCCTCCCTCACCCTAGAGGAGCTGACTACAGAAGGTTGGGATTAATCCTGAATTAAGTTTATGTATTAAATTTTTCTACAAAAAAAAAGGGTAAACAAAAACCCTTCTGGGGTTTCTAGTGGTGGTTGAATAGTTCCACGTGTGGTCACCAGAAAATAAGCCATTCCTCACACTAGTACAGGATAAACTCTGGCCTCTATGGGGCAGGAGTGCATCCTGCTGTGTATCTTAGGATCCCTCTGCCTTGTTTTGGTGGCAGTGAAAATGCCTCTTGACCATGTCCAAGTGTGTCTCACTATGTTTGATTTCTGAATCATGTCCCAGTTGGCTTGGCCCTGCCACATGGGCCCAGTACTCATTTTGAGCATAACTTAACTTTTTTCCAAATCAGTATAATAAAGGAGTGATGTGCAATATTTCCTTGTGTGATGTGTTACACCTTTTGTCCAAAGAAGTCAGCGTTCAAGTTGAAGTGTTTATGACCTACAAGCTCATTACATCCTGAGAACACTTGAGTTTCTAGCATTCTCCATTCCTTACAATAAAGTCGTTTTTTTGAGACAGGGTTTCACTATGTAGCCCAGGCTGGCCTTGAACTTCTGGTGATCCTCCTGCCTCAGCCTCCCCGGTGCTGGGATTACAAGCATGGGTCACCACTCTGGGCTAAAGTGCCCCCACCCTACCCCCGGTACTGGGGATTGAACCTCAGGACCTTGTGCTTCCCAGGCAGGTGCAGCACCATTGAGCTACATCCCGGGCACCTACAATAAAGTTTTGACTAAAATCTTGGCCTGTTGGCAGGAAGATAATAGCCCACATGCATAAGGTACGTCACCACTAGGAGACCACTACTAGATCTCCAAAACAATACTTCTCACTCTGGGATACATCAGAATCATTTATGGAGTGTGCAAAATGAATCTGGCTCTGGATTTACCTCTTGAGATTTGGGAACAGGCACCAGCATTTTTTAAAAAACTTTTTTTTTGTACCGGGGATCGAACTCGGGTCCTTGCGCTTGCAAGGCAGGCGGCAGAAACACTAAGCTAAATCCCCGGCCCTAAAAAGCTTTTTAGGTAGGTTGAGACAGGGTGTTATGTTCAGGATGGCCTTGAACTTGTAGCAATCCTACCACATGGTGAATGCTGGGATTATAGGCATGCACTACCCTGCCTAGTTTAAGGCTGAGAACCATCACTCAAGGTACAAAAAGAATAGCATTAAACTTTGTGTGGTGGTGCATACCTGTAGTTCCAGCTATTCTGGGGGCTAAAATAGAGTTGCTTGAGTCCAGGAGCTGGAAGTCAGCCTGGGCAACAAAATAAAAACAAACCAGCCTCCTCTTTGTTTCCCAAAGCCAATTTAAGATTAGCAATCTCATTATCACTTAATGGTTCCTGACCCTCTTTGGACATGCTCAGTCAGTTATAGGAACACTTAGATAAAAAAAAGTTTTAGTGATGTTGGGGTTGAGCAGCCCAGGTCCATATGCATGCCAGGCAAGTGCTCTACCACTGAGCTAATATCCCCAGCCTTTTTCTTTTTTCTTTTTAGTACTGGGGATCAAACTTGGGACCTTGTAAGTTTGCTCATTCCTCATTCCAAAGATGTTCTTACATTGGCAGTAAATGGTCCACTACACCACAATGTCCTGAAAAGGAGAATGTGTCTTCAACAAAACCACTGGCCTTGGGCATGTTCCATGCTGAAATAAGTTGCTCAGGCTGGCCTTGAACTCATGATCTTCATGCCTCAGCCTCTCCAGTAGCTGGGATCACAGGTGTGTACTATCAGGCTGGGCTTCATCAAAAATTTACTGAGTATTTGAGCTATGTGTTAAGTCATAATACTGTGTTCTGGGGTTCAAAGAGAATCCTGTCCTAAAGAGTTCAGGCTACTTGGGGAGACAGGCATATACAGTATTGAATGCTTACAAGTAAGAGAAGTCCATTAGCTGTTGTTTCAATTGCTCTTAGGAAGCAGTGATATGTAAATAAACTGGTATCATGCAGCCTCCATTTTGCCATCCTGACTAAAATTATATACTGAAAACATATAGACTATTGAAACCCACATACTCCAACTAGAAACTACTGAGAAGGGAAATAAATCCAGCTGGGTACAGTTTGCTCTAAATGAAAACCAGCCTTTTTCCATTTGCAGTTAGTATGAGCAGACAGAAAAAAGACACAAAGATAATATATCCTGATTCAAATAAAAACCTAAATACCTAATATCCCAGGTTAGACATGCTGCTTGGGTGACTAATAAAGGCCTCCTAGCCACTTTCTTTTTTTTTGGTAGGGCAGTGATGGCGAACCTTTTAGTTTTCAATGATAATAAACACCTGGCTATGGCACGCAGGCCACAGGTTCACACCACTGACATAGGGGATTGAATGCGGCGCCTCCAAGCACGCTAGGAAAGTGTTCTACCACAAAGTTACACCCTCAGGCCATCTGTCTGTCTGTCTCCCCTCTCTTTTTTACTACCGAAGTTAAGTTTCACATTTATTTGAAGTAGGAAAAATTAAAAGTGAAGGGTAAAGGAGAAACTGGCTCTGCAAAGCAAGCTTGGGATGAATAAAAGAGGAAAAATAAGAAAAGTAAAATCACACTCTGGGACACAGGGCGGGCTATCATGAGGATAGCCGAGATAGTCTACTTTTTCTTTGTAACAATGTCTGAAATATTCTGCAAGGACAGGGTTCCATCATGTTCACCACTTCTCCCCTACCAGTTCCTAGAACAGTAGTAGGCAAAGTAGTAGTCCCTCCCTCTCCCTCCTGTCTCTCTCTATATTCCCAAATGCCTTCCAAAAACTGTTCCCAATCAAATGTTTTAGAAGTAGTAGTAGCCATATTTCATATGCTACTTCTAACCTGCAAAGTAGCAATCATTTCTACTTTTATTTTATTTTACATTTATTCAGGCATGAACTAATTTATTTGCCCCAAGTCATGTAGCCATCCATAGCAGCAAAGCATTCAAACAGATCTGTCTCACTGTAAAGCTTACAAGGTGTTGTATTCACCTGGGCCAGGGTGCTTACTTTATTCTGTGTTGAACACAGTCTTGGGCATGTAGTTAGAAGTTCTCCAGGGCGGGGGATTTAGCTCAGCGGTGCTGCTGCTTGCTTCGAAAGCACGAGGTCTTGAGTTCGATCCCCAGTACCAAAAAAAAAAAAGTTCTCCATATTGACATTGGTTCATTTTCCTTTCTTTTTCTGTGATAGGGTCTCTGTAATTCAGGCTGGCCTTGAACTCACTATGTAGGTCAAGCTGGCCTTGAACTGGCAGAGATCCACCAGCTTCAGGCTCTTGAGTACTGGGATTATAGGCACATGACACCATGCTTGGAAACTTCTAGAAATCTATTTTGCAAAAGAACCATAGGCATGCATAAAGATAAATGGTACTAAGAGGAGTTTTTTTGCATTTTTGGCATGGTAGCACACAGGAGGCTGAGACAAGAGAATCGCTGGGAGTTCAAGACCAGCCTGGGATATATAGTGAGTTCAAGGCAGCCTGAACCACAAAGCAAGATCCTGTCTTGAAAGAGACTTCTTTGTGGCATTGTGCGTAAAAAGAAAACTACAGTTTTCAAATATCTACTAATAGGAACTGATAAAACAACCTACATCAAAGTATCTAACATAAGACTTGGTATTTAGTAGATATTTGATAGAAGGCACTCAAGATATATAATAATAACAATGACATATTAGCATGTACTGAGTACTCAAGCATTTCTTCCTCACATTAGTCTTATGAAGTCATACTATTCAGACAAGGACAAAGACTTAGAGATAAAAACAACATCAATGTCAACATCCTGGTAGTCTGTTTTATTGGTCTTTTTTTGGGGGGGGGTCATGCTGGTGATTAATTCTCTCAGAGCCTCAGCATAGGAGGCAAGCCTCCACTGAGCTATAGCATCAGCCTGATGCATTATAATTATGCAAAATGTCACCAGTCTGGGAAATTGCCCAAAAGGGCACAAGGGATCTCTGTATTATTTTTTTCCCCAGTGTTGGGAATTAACCCTAGAGCTTTGTGAATGCTACGGGTATAGCTCAGCAATAAAACCTGTGGTCAGCGTACACAAAGGCCTGGGCTTGATCCTCAGCACTGCAAAAAAAACCAAACAAAACCAATCAAACAGAAAAACTGTATGTGGATCTATAGTCATGGCAATAAAATATTCAACTGAAAAAGTAGAAAGCCTTTAACTTATAGATAAGGTCAGCAACTTAAGGACACAAAGGCAGGTAGGCTGCCTCCAGAGCTCACCCAAAGAGTGTACCGTGAGGTGAGCGGCATCTTGAGTAACATCTCAAGAACGGCCATTTTCCTGGGTGCAGAGCCACACACCTACAATCCAAGCACTCTGGGAGACTGAGGCAGAGGATCAAAAGTTCAAGCCCAGCCTGGATCAATTAGCAACTCAGCAAGAACTTGTCTCAAAATAAAAAATGGATGGGGATGTAGCTCAGTGTGAAGGCCCTAGGTTCAACCCCTAGTCCCTTGCCTCTCCCCAATAAATAAAAAAAAATTTAAAAAAGAAGAGCCATTTCATGTTCGTCTTTCCTTCCTACTCTATAGCCTTTCTTCCTCTTCTCCTATTCTCTCCTCATCCCCAAATTTACAATCTCATTTCTAATTCAGTACTTTTCTTGGGCTTCTCTTTGCCTGGAGAATCTTGACTTCTCTTATTCAAGCTCTTCAGTTCCTTCTGACATCGTGTCACAAATCATTCCCTGGCCACTTCACCTGATAGTGCTCTGTCCCTCTTTTCAATCCAGATTTAACAAATATTTCCCACTATGTCAATAATATTTTGTTTACTAAGCACTTTTCAGAACTACTCACATGTTACCTGGATCACCAGGTATGTCTTGTAATTTCCACTAAACCACAAAGTGCCTAAATCAGGGATATACATAAAGTGCCTGCCCCAGGGCTTGGCACCTAGAATGTAGAACTGAGAACACAAAAATACAAGAAATCGGCAATCAGGCTTTGTCCAGAGCAAGCAGGCAGTTGATGTATGGCAATTAATAGCAGTTAACAAAGAGAACAAGCCACTGCTCTAATAGTCATGACACAATTTAACGTTTTTCCCTGTTCGAGAATCCTTTTTAGTAAAATTTTTGGTTTTGGCTTTTTTTGTTTTGAGACAGGATTTTGCGATATATAGTTCAGGCTCCCCTTGAACTCACTACATAACCTAGGCTGGCCTGAAACTTGCAGATACTCTCATCTCAGCCTCCTGAGTGCTGGGACTACAGGTACATGCCATCATGCCTGGCCTGTTTGTTTTTTGAGACAGGGTCTCGATATGTAGTTCAGGCTGGCCTTGAACTACATATATAGCCCATGATGGTCTTGAACTTGTAACAATCTTCCTGCCTCAGCTTCCTGAGTGCTGGGATTACAGCTATGTGCTACAATGCCTGGATGTAAAAATGTTTTGTCACAGCAAAAAATACATTATTTTGGGCCGGGGATTTAGCTCAGTGGTTTCGCTGCCTGCTGTGCAAGCGCAAGAACCCAAGTTCGATCACTGGTACCAAAAAAATCCCCCAAAAAACAAACAAAAAAATACATTATTTCTAATGACTGTCAGGAGGAATAGGCTATTTCCAACATTATATAATTTTGTTTGCTGGTGTCTCTAAAAGAGAAGTTTTATCAACAGGAGGATGAAATTCACTAAAAGGCTCATAAGAATAATGGTCTATCTATAGAATAAATTACTAGCAGATTTTTCTAGAGGTGGTTGTTGGCTGATCCCAGGAATCTGAATAAAGACCATGGCATCTCAATGTAATTTTTATACATGTACTCTTGGAAATAGCTTACTCCCCTCCTTGGAGTAAAATATGGCTTCTTAGGTCTGCAAGAATTCAGGCTGTACTCGGGCCACTTTCCGGAATTCTTTTGTGTGGGTCTTCGGGCACTGCATCTCACACCAGCTAATGGGAACCATCTGGACACCTGGAAGGAAAAAGCCAATGTGGGAGCTGGGACCCCAAATATTTTCCTGAGACTTTTCTTTTCAGCTGGGTATAAAATTAAAGTATCAGGCTGGGGATGTACCTCAGTGGCAGAGCATTTGCTTAGCATGGGTAAGACCCTGGGTTTAACTCCCAGTACTGCATTAAAAAATAGGTATCACCTAGTGAAACTCACCTCATCTGGAAGAAACCTTGTTTATTCCACTGAATTACGGACTAGGTCCCCTGTTTGCTTAGATTTAGGAAAACCATTCTAATTTCAGCAATAAGCAGTCATGTATTGCTTAATGATGGGGCCATGTTTTGAAAAATGATTCTGTTATTGTGTAAACATCACAGAATATATTTGTACAAACTAAGAGAGCTACATCACTAGGTGATATAATCCTAAACCATGGCTCTCAAGGGTAAATTCAGATGTGAAAGCATGGACCAACTCACCTGATTCACTGTGAGCCACCACCACTCCTAGCTCATTTTCAGCAGTGGTCAGCAGGTAATTGGACTGTGCATCACCTAGGGATATCTAGTCATATAACACTGGTGAAGGAAAATGAGCAGTTGAAGTCTTCCCCCGACAGCTACTTGAGTTGTTTCTCTACTTCCATTTCTGCTTTTGACAAAGGACCTTCAGAAGTTTGCTGAGAATAAAGGATACCACTTTGGCCAAGACAATGTCACCTGGGCGGAAACTCTTATAAATTTCAACCTGCACATAAACAACAAGAGTTTTAAGTGAAAGCTTTCAATTAGGTCTACATGAAATTATTAATCCCCTGGTAGAGCCAGTTTATCTATTTTTTTCTTTTTTTTTGAGGTGACTGGGATTGAAACCTGGGCCTTATGCATGGTAAGCAATCTCTCACTGAACCATATCCCCAGTCTGAGCCAGTCTACTTTCTAACCTCTGATTTTTTTTTAGTACCGGGGATTGAACTTGGGACCTTGCGCTTGCAAGGCAGGTGCCAGAACCACTGAGCTAAATGCCCAGCCCACCCTACCAGTCTACTTTCTAATCCAAGGGGGTTATCATTATTATTCAAGTCAGTCAACATTTTATTTTTTTTGAGATAGGGTCTTGATATGAGGTTCAGGCTGGAACTCACTATGTAGCCCAGGCTGGCCTCGAATTTGCAGATTCCACATTTCCATGGATCTCTGAAATTCATTAGGATAATAATTTCACAAAACTGAGATTCCTATAGCCCTGCAAAAAAAGCCCGAATTAACCAACAACCTTGTCTTTTTCAGTCGCTCGGACATCTTCCTTGCTATAAAAAGAGAATTAACAAATATTAATCGTCTGTGAGAAATAATTACTCTGTAGCTTCTAGCATCCAAAGAACTACGAGATAAGAGCGTAGAGGACAAGTTATAATGGGGACACAGTTGCCACTCAGGGATGCAGGGAGGATAGGCAGACTTAGTCGACACTGAGAGGAGAAAACATTTTCCCATTCTTGGACCACACAGAGCATCAGTGTGGATACCTTGGACTACAGAAAAGCAGAAGAGATCTGACAAGAAATGGCGAAGAACTTTGCTGCCTCAAGAGCCCCTGAATGGAGGCACTATAGAATCACACAGAGTCCAGGGGATAGGAAGGGCCTTGAAAGGTAAACTACCTGGCCTGCGGTGTTTGTCCTTCCTCAAACAATGCACAAAAAAAAACAACCTACTGTTTCCCCACTGACAACTTTTTTTTTTGGTTTTTTTTTTTGAGGCAGGGTGTCACTATGTAGCTTAGGCTGCCCTTGAACTTACTAAGTAGTCCAGGCTGTCCAGGCTGTCCTTGAACTCATGGAGATCTGCCTGCCAGAGCCTCCCAAGTGCTGGGACTAAAGGTATGTGCCACCACACCCTGCCCCACAAACTTCGTAATGTCTAATAACATTTGGGTTTAATCTATATTACATACTTTTTTAAAAAATGTACTTCCTAAAATTCCCTCTACCTTGTTTGGTCTGAATCACCCTTATGCTGCTTATTTTCACCTTTGCTCAATTAGTTTCATTTTTAAACTCTTTTTTATTAATATTTCCTTTTGTCTTAGCTCATAGGACATTTTCTTTGGCAACTACAGAGGAGAATCAAAGCACAAAGGAGAGACAAAAATAGGCAGGAGCAGGAATAGTAATTGTTCCTAAAAATCCAACTTTCAGTGGGTATGGTGGTGCAAGCCTGTAATCCCAGCACTCCAGAGACCGAGGCAGGAGGACCATACGAGTTTGAGGTTAGCCTAGGCTACATATAGTGAGTTCAAGGCCAGCCTGGACTAAATAGTGAGACTCTGTCTAAAAATTAAAAAAAAAAACAAAAACAACTCTCTCAACTATCCTAGTCTCATTCAAGATGCTAGGCAAATGTCAAGAAAAGAATATTTCTTACCGGATAGTTCCTCGGAAAGAGTTCTTAAGTGGTGTAGACCCTACATATAAGATGTACACTTTAGCAAAACGTGAATTGATGCTAGAGACCTATAGGATAGAGAAAGGATCAGCATCAGAGCATTAGCAGGTGTCAGCTCGAGGATGCAGCAATAAACTGGGAATTACTAAGATTTTAGTTTAGCAACTCTATCAAGTAGAATTTAAGACAAGTTAATTTCTACTTATCTTTGCCTAAGTGATATCTGTGGAATAAGAGCCACAGTAGCCACCTACTAGAGTTACTATAGAAATAATTGAGCTAATATGGCTGGCCCATTACAGGTGTGGTGGCCAGCTGAGCCAGGAGGATCACTAAGAATTCAAACTTGTGATGATCCTCCTACCTCAGTTTCTGGAGTGCTGGAATCACAAGTGTGCACCACCACACCTGGCAATAGTTTTTTTGGTTGTTTTTTTTTGTCTTTTTTTTGGTAGCGGGGATCGAACTCTGGTCCTTGAGCTTGAGCAGCAGGCGGCGAAACCGCTGAGCTAAATTCCCGGCCCCTTCCTTTTTTATTTTATTCTGAGACAAGGTCTCACTAAGTTGCCCACAATGACCTCAAATTTGACTCAACCTCCCAAGGAACTGAGATTACAGAAGTGTGTCACCATGCCAGGCTTAATTTAAATTTAAATAGCTCTATATAGCTAGTATCTACCACATTAGGCACTGCAGTTCTAGAGTGGTAATGATTTTAGCATTGGATATGTGTGCTAAGCATAGATTTAGGACCAACTTACCTTACAGGTGACAATAGCTCCCACATCTGGCAGTAACTGGGACTCTGTCTCTCTCATCACAGACACCACAGGAAGCTACAGAGAAAATAAAATGAATGTTGTGGCTAAGCCTTGAGCAAAAGTATTTGTGGCTTGAGAATAATGTAGGAACATCCTAGTATGGTTGAGAACACAAGGTCAGATGAACTGTGAATTAAATTTAGGAACAGGACAAGAAGGTACAGGAAGAATGCTGCCAGAAGACATAATCTAACCATTCCAGTTTAATCTGCAATCATAAATGACTCCTCTAATAGTCCAGGAAAGTTATCAAATAGATGTCATTTAATCATGGCAATAATTGTTTTCTTCTGTTTTAAAGGAATATTTGTAGCTTTCTCTTTGATTATTGGTGTAAGAGAGCTATTTTTAGCTTCATCTTGTATCAGCCCCCCCCCCCCCGCCCCTTTTTTTTTTTTTTTTGAGACAGGGTCTCGCTATGTAGTTCAGGCTGGTCTCGTACTTGAGTCAGTCCTCCTGTCTCTGCCCCCATGTGTACCACCACAGTCTCTCCCTTCTTCACTATGCTTAAATTCTCTTGGCTTCTTTCAATTTCCCCAACTTACTAAGTTTTTCTCACTTCAGGGTCTCTGTTCAACTTGTTCTTCCTGCCAGAACTGCATTCTCCCCAGCCACCTTTACAGACAATTCAGCCTAAATGTCACTTTCACTGGCTAAGGGATGTTCACTTGTTACATATTCTCATGATGTTGTATAATATTCTTTCCAAGCAGTCATCATATTTGTAACCATGCACCCATTGAGTACTTATTTATATGCTGTTGTCTGTGCCCTGTGATAGCATAAACTAAGTGTCTTTGGTTCATTATTATATCCCCAGATGTCAGTACTGTGCCTGACCCATGAAATGCTGAAGATAACTGTAAAATGAAGAAACTTAGGAATGTAAAGGACATCCCCAAAATTGGCTGAATAGAAAGTCTGTATTTTTACAGATGAAGAAAAATCTAAAGCCTGAAGTTTGCTGTCCCAAGCAGAGTCAAGGTCTAGATTGCCAGTACCTGACATGTTTTACTTCTTAATCTTTCATTGTGCTGTCTTTAAACTGCTCCTTCAAAGACTATTTATCTGATCCTGAGCTAATCCTGGCACAACTTCTGGAGCTAGAGAGGACAGCATTATTCATGCATCTAACAAGCATTTATTGACCATCTATCTTATGCTAGATACTGAAGGTAGTACAGTGGTAGAACCTGTACAGTGGTTCCTTTTATGGAACTTAAAAGTCTAACTGGGGAGAAGTTTAGTGGGGAACATGTAAGTGAATGTTTAGTTACACGCTGAAGGAAAGGAACAGAGCTCTTTGTAAATGTTTAACAACCTCCTCTCCAAACCTTTCTTCAAGCAGTGTGATTTAGAAGCACTTCTCTGAGAACAAGATACTAGAGAGGCTTTGTGCAAGAGGTTAGGGTTAGAGTTACAGAGGCTAAGGAGAAGTGTGTTCCAAATAGATGGCATGTGTACCTTGCTCCGAAGCAGCAGAGAAGTCAGCGCCCTTGGCGACACTGAAAGAAGCTAGAATAAGTAGACAGCAGTCAGTGAAGTGGAGATAGTGGAGCTAGATGAAGGCGGACAGGTAGGCGACAGTCAGAATTCTGCTCACCCAGACTGCTCTGTTTGGGTCTGCTCTCCCCCAACTTCCCTCTCCGAGAGTTGGCAGCACAACCAAAAACCATCAGCCTAACTGGTGTGTGGTGGCTACGTACATAGTATTGGCGATTTCAGGAGCAACTGAAGAGACCAAATCGTTCTATGGTTAAGGCACGGAAGATGCATCCGCAGTGCTAGTGTCTAAGGACCAGAACGGAAGGGTGGCCTAAGAGAAAGGGAGAGAAAGAGCAAATGGGAAGCCGCCTCCTTTACCGCTCCGTTCTCGCTGCTCTTCGTCAGGCAGCCGGCCAGCGACGAAAAGATGTAGCCATGCCGGGTGTAGGTGCCGCTGCCCGGGCTGCCCTCTTCCAAGTTACACAGACGTTCGCCTGCAGAAGGAACACTACACCAGTCACGGGCTCCCAGAAACTCGTGGCTGTCCAGGATTCTAGTCTTTGTCCCCGTCTAAGACTCCGAATGGGAAATGCACACTTACCAGGTACACAGTATCTCACGGGGGGCGCCATGACTGACACTGTCCAAACCCGGATGAAAACTAAGCGAACTTCTCATTGGTGACATCTGGGAGTGTTTTCGCAGTATGATACACCTTCATTGGTGCGTTATGTCATGTGACCACAGGAAGCTTTCATCTAGTGTAAACTCCATTTCCCAGACTGCCCCGGGATCAAGCCGGGGGCGGGAATTCGGACTCCAGTGATTGCGCTTGCGCTGGTGATCCGGGATGGGCTGGCCGTGGGTCCGGGTCCACTGGCTTGCGCTGCGGGAGGCTGGCCATGGTGGGTAGGATTGAACCGCTCCCGGCGCGGAGCTGGAGAGGTGGTAGTAGACGGCAGTAGAGGCTGCGGGGCTCGATTTGGCTGTTTGAGGAATCGGGAGGCGGCAGGTAAGGGGAAGCTACGGCCCTTGCTCGGCATTGTCCTTTTTTCTAGGGTCGAGCCGCGTGTCCCGAGGCCTTGTTGCAAGCCAGGGTTCTTGCTCTCTCCTCGCCTGCCCTGCAGGACCCTTGCCCGCCTCTGACGGAGCGCACCCACGGGGAAGCTGTAACGCGCAGAGGGGGAAGGAGATCAATCAACCCAACTTGTCCATTTCACAGGTTTGCAAACTCACATCCAGAGGCAGGGTTTGGCTTGTCCAAAGTCTCGAAGATAATTCGACAGACCCCCAGTCAGAACCAAAGTTTTCTGGTTTCCAGTCTATCACAGTTTGACCAGGCCGCCCTCGCTGAAAGACAAAATCTTTTCCTGGTAGCTGCAGCCTTCAGTTCAGTGATCAGATCCTGTAGTTGTGTTGACCCCATCTTAACTTTGGATGAGCAGCTTTTTTTTTTTTTTTTAAAGACAGGGTCTAGTTATGTGGTTCAGGCAGGTCTCGAACTCGCTGCAATCTTTCTGCCTCAGCCTCCAAAGTGCTGGGATTACAGGCCTGCACTACCACGCATGGTGGGATGAGCAGCTTTATGATAAAGTTACAACTCTTTTTTCCACCTCATTTAAGCATGTTAGCCCAGAAGAGAAGTCTGCACATGAATAAAATATTGCTCTTTAACTGATGTTTGACATCTCCTACTTGAGATTTGTCCAGATGAAATTTGTCACGATTTTCCCTTGTTGAATCTGCCTTCTGATGATTTTGGACTCTGTTCCTCCCTATCTCCCCTTCCCCAACCCTTGGAAACAGATGGTGCCCAGGGATGAGGGGAGCGCTGTGACCTGCAAACCCTAATCTAGTGGCAGATGGCTACTGTGACCTATGGGTACTACTTAGGGATGGGACTTGTCAGTGTCTGCTGTGATAGAAGTGTGCTTTGCTATTTCCTCCTCTGTTCACTGAGATCACACTCCTCTCTAAACACATAACATTTTGAATTTTGCATAACCTCAGCTTCCTGAATTGAAATTTCAGTTTCAGTTGTAGCCCATGGGCAATATATCTTTTTCTTGGCATTCCCATGTTTCCCATATTCCACTCTCTAAAGTGAGGGGGGCAGCCTGGCTTGTTCAGTCAAATCTGGCCTGTACTTCTGCAATGATAAGCTTTCCATTTATGTGTTTGGGTGATTTCTTTTCTTTTTTTTTTTTTTTTTGGTACCAGGGATTGAACTCGGGTCCTTGCGCTTGCGCAGCAGGCAGCGAAACCACTGAGCTAAATCCCCGGCCGGTGTTTGGGTGATTTCTGGTTGCACTTGTTTTCTAAAATGCCTTTTAGCTCTTTAACACTATGATTCTAGTAACAGTTTCCATTTCTTTATTAATCAGCAAAAATGATGGCAGCAGATGCTAAAGTATTATCATATTTGCAGGAGTGGCCCTGATGGTATATGTGGCACAGATAGATCAGCCTTTCTACTTCTGCATCCCTCCAGCATTCAGTCAACAAATATTCATTGAAACTGGGTTTGGTGGTGCATGCCTATAATCCCTGCTACTTGGCTCAGGCAGGAGGATCCCAGGTTTGAAGCCAGGTTGGGCAATTTAGCAAGCAAAATCCTGTCTCAAAATAATAAAAACAAAGGGCCAGCCAAGAGGATCACTGCGAGTTCGAGGCCAGCCTGGGCTACATAGTGAGTTCAGGGCCAGCCTGAACTACAAAGGGAGACCCTACCTCAAAAAACAAAAAACAAAAAACAAAAAACCAAAGGGCCAGGGATATAACTCACCAGTACAGTGTTTGTGTGTTATGTGCAAGGCCCTAAATTCAATTCCCAGCACCACAACCCAAACAAGAATGTATTGAATACTTCCATGAGCCTGGTATTGTGCTAAGTGGTTTATAACCATTTCATTTATACCTTACCAATAAAGTTGGAACAGACCTTAGCATTTAATCTTATCCCCTTAGGGAATGAGACAAGGGTATTGAATTCTACTAGGGTTCAGTGGTTTGTCCAAGGTCACAGAACTACTTAGGGGCAGAACTAAACCAAAATTAGGGTATGGGCAGATAAGAGTTGGTATGAGGTAGGCATTTAATGTACAGCCTAGGAATTCAGGATGTGGTTTCCACCAGAAAAGTAGAGAATCTGAGAGTTGTTTTTTCTTTAAAAGGTGGTTCTGAGGTAGAATGTAATTCACACTTTTTACAGGTGAGGAAGGTATCTGATTGGCACACTATTGCTATAAAAAGTATTTTAATGGGCCGGGGATTTAGCTCAGTGGTTTGCCACCTGCTGTGCAAGCGCAAGGACCCAAGTTCAATCCCAGGTACCAAAAAAAAAAAAAAAAAGTATTTTAGCAAATAGAAAACTCTTATCCATAGTAAGGGAATGTACATTGGCGCGGACAGTCTATAAGTCACCTAGATTGGTTGTGGGGCAATCTGATCTGTCCCACTGTTATATTTGATTGTGGCTATTATTTTGTAAATTCATGCTTCAGCCAAATCATGGTTCCAAGTAATAGTCCAACTCAGAGAAGCTAGGTCTGAGGTTTTCAGCTTTTTTCTCTTTTCTACATTCCACTTTCTCTCAGTTTCCCAGGAGGTATTGGGAATGGCCAGTTTCTTTATCCTGGTGCAATGGGTCTGCCCCCCCAAATTGTCAGTCTTCACTTTTTTTGTAGGCCTTATCTACTGGATTCCTTTTTGCTTTGGGTTTATGAGCCTGTAGAAAGAAGTATTTAAGTATTTTCTTTGAAAGGCCCTTTGTGGGGATGAGCCAGGGTGCAAGGAGAGTACATTGCTCCAGTTACTAAATTGAAACCATCCCTCCAGCCTAGCAGCTTCCTCCAGTTTCCGCTGAGTTTTGAGCTGCCTGTTAAATAAGTCAGTGGAGTTGCTAAGGACAGAGCAGCCCTCCCTGGCTGGTCTTCCCTAGGGGAAAAATCAGATAATTTCTCTTCAGGTAAAAGACTTAATCTGCAGAATTGAGACAGTCACAGAATGAGTCTATTAGAACATCTCTGTCTTTGGTTTTGGTCATTGCCTGGGCAGTGATCTCCCACACTGCATGAGGTAGAGTGCAGAGATGGAAGCACTTGCAGAGGAGCCATGGCAAGGGCTGGTGAGCTGGGAAGGCTGGTTGGGAAGCCTGGGGTCAAGGGCAGCAGCTGCAGAGAATGTTCTTGAGTGTGAATAATTACAGTGGAGCAGGGAAGACTTCCACTGAGAGGGCAGGACCTACGGTGTTCACGAGCTACCAAAATGGAAGTCCCTCCAACTTCTGTCTCCTGCCTTAGTGTTCTCTTGCCCTGAATACCTGAAGTTGTCTGGCTGCTCTATCCTTGGGGTGGGGCTACGAGTGGAATTAGAGACAGTGCATCCAATGTCACATAAGAGGTGGCTGACTGTCCTGACATGAGATGGAATCTCTTGGTACCAGGTTGGGTCTTCTGGCCTGTAACATCAACCCAGAGGGAGTAGGATAGGAAGGAAGGGTATCTTTTGCCAAGACTCAGATGGGACCAAAGAAGACCTAGATGCAAGAATCACAACCACTTGGTGGGCTAGCGCAGCAGGAAACTGAACAACTGCAGCAGTGGCCATGCTGAGACACAGAGCGTAGCTTTGTCTGTGTTGGTTGTGCTCCACCCACACAGACAGCTCCAGTGACTCCTTGATTTGAAGCTGCCTGCCTCTCTCTTACTCCTTCATGTGGCCCTTTATTCTAGCTAGGTATGTAGGTTTGTATGTTGGATTTGCTGTGCACCTCTGTGGTATAATGTAAATGTGGTTTCTGCAGGCTCAGAATTTCCAGTCCTTAACCTCCTGAAATCTGGTTGCAGCACTGGCACTGAACATTCTGTAGAAAAGTGAAGTGACCTTTCTACTTCCCACAGTTGATGACTGTCCTAACTGGGTCTTAATCTTGGGTATTTGCTCTCCAAGCTGGTGCTCTAGGCCTTCCCACTGGTGAGGTAGGGAGCAATAGGACTCAGGATGGATCTTCACAATAGTGTGCCCTTCTAGGAGCCATGCGTGGCCAGCGGAGCCTGTTGCTGGGCCCAGCCCGCCTCTGCCTGCGCCTGCTTCTGCTCCTGGGCTACAGGCGCCGCTGCCCACCTCTGCTTCGGGGCCTGGTGCAGCGTTGGCGCTATGGCAAGGTCTGCCTTCGCTCCCTGCTCTACAACTCCTTTGGGGGCAGTGAAACCGTGGTTGATGCTGCCTTTGAACCTGTCTACTGGCTGGTGGACAACGTGATTCGATGGTTTGGGGTGGTAAGTGATGCCCATGAAGCAGGAAAAGGGATGTTTTAGAGGAGTAGAGGGACGTGTCTCTGGTGGACTCACACTAGATTCTGAAGGCAAGATCCCTACCCATAGAGAAATTCCTGCATTTCCTATGGGTAGAGCTCTCTTGCTGTGTCTACCTGACCTCACTGGTATTGGCAGGTGTTTGTGGTACTGGTGATCGTGCTGACCGGCTCCATTGTTGCCATCGCCTACTTATGTGTCCTGCCGCTCATCCTCCGAACTTACTCAGTGCCACGACTCTGCTGGCATTTCTTCTACAGTCACTGGAATCTAATCCTCATCGTCTTCCATTACTACCAGGCCATCACCACTCCGCCTGGGTACCCACCCCAGGTGGGTCTCTATGGGGGCAGTGGAGAGAGGCAGTTATAGGATATGGGTTGGAGAATGCCTTGGGATCTTTTGAGGCACAAAACTGGTGCTGCTACAGTGCTCATGATGCTCTTCTCCTTTTGCACAGGGCAGGAATGATATTGCCACAGTCTCCATCTGTAAGAAGTGCATTTACCCCAAGCCAGCCCGGACACACCACTGTAGCATCTGCAATAGGTGGGTCTTGGCTTTGCTCTGTGAACCCTTGTGATGATCCTTTTGCTATAGTCCTAGGGTAAAACCTGGACTTGGAGTTTCTAAGACAGGTATCAAGTGCTTGTTGCAAGTACGTGTTCCATGTAGTGTACATTTTCTTTGGTACTGGGGATTGAACTCGGGATCTTGGACTTTCGAGGCAGGCAGCGGAACCACTGAGCTAAGTCCTCAGCCCCATGCAGTGTACTTTTGGTCTCCTGCCACAGTCCTCAGGCTAGTCCTGTGAGTTAGGTGTAGAAACTGAGGTTCAGAGAGATGACTTACCATGTCTATTATCATGTATATAGCCAATAAACTTCAAAGCTGGGTTTGAAGTAAGGACTGGCTATCTTCAAAGTCTCTGCCCTTTCCACCTCAGCAGGATGCTGTCCTTGTAGAAAAGGATTGGCACTGACATCCAAGAACCTTGGCTACCATAACAGAGCCTGTGTCCCTCCCTAACAGGTGTGTGCTGAAGATGGATCATCACTGCCGTATCCTTTTGCTGTCTTCTGCCTGAGGCCTTTAACTCCAGAGCACTGTACAGGGTTAATGGCCACAAACCTAAGGCTTCTAGCATCACCCTGCAGAGAACAGTGGGCTTATAAGAAGTTAGTAGAAGAGGCACTGTGGGGGATGACCATCTTCTGAGGAGAGCAGGGGGCTCACAAGTTCTGTGAGATGGATCTTCTGGAAGCAAGGATCTTTTAATAGGTCTTTCCTTTGTAGGCTGCCATACTAACAGCTATTGAATGGAGAGAGACGTGGGGTTCTGTGGCCGCCTATTGGGGGTGCCAGATAGAACCATAGGTCCCCTTTTGCTGTCATATTCAGATGCTTGGCTAACTCCAGCTAGGTTGAAGTATTGGCAGATTCATTTTACTGTGTTCAGTTTTCAATTTTCATGATTTCCTGGTAAACTTGAAAAGCTTATAATAATTTCATGTCAAACTTGGGAAACCATTTCGTTTTCCTGCCTTTGGAAAACAGTTCTTGCTTGAGTGATGTTGTCTTGAACTAAGGATGAACCAGAAAGGCCTGGACATTGCTGAAAGTGTGTTTGATCTTGTCCTTAATCAGTCCCTCACCAGCCTGGCTAAACAACTGTGTGGGCCACTATAACCATCGGTACTTCTTCTCTTTCTGCTTTTTCATGACTCTGGGCTGTGTCTACTGCAGCTATGGAAGTTGGGACCTTTTCCGGGAGGCTTATGCTGCCATTGAGGTGAGTCTGTAGCGAGGAGTAGGGCATCTGAGTAGTCCAGAATGTGCAGTATAGAGCCTGTCCCTAAGGAATGGGGCTGGTAGCACCCCTCTCCTAGGGGCTGCAAGTGTAACCAGCACTGTTTTCCATCCCTTAGAGAATGAAACAGCTCGACAAGAACAAACCACAGACGCTTGCCAACCAGGTGGGCTGTCCCCACCCCCCTGCCTCCTGCTGCTCAGGCCTGGGGTGTAGAGTTGCTCGGGCAACTGGGCTTGCTAGTTTAGCTGTAGAGGCAGGCTGAGAGGCCCAGGTAGATTGGATCAGGAGTGTTTGGGGAGGCTGCAGTGGCCTGAGGGCAAGTTGGAAGTCCCTGGTGTGTGACAGATTTTGGCTATCCCATCATCACCTTCTCTTTGGGCTGAGCCTCGACTCTGCCTTGGTGATGGCCTGAGCAGCAAGGAGTCTATGTTAGTCTGTGTAATGGGGTTCCAGGGGACAGAGATCAAGCTGGTCCATCTGCACCTGTGTCTCTGGGGACTCTTCCAAGCACATCTTGGGCTCATATTGTATCCATGGTGCTCTTCCACAGTCCTAAATGGAGCCTGTGGTTCTCCCCCATTAGTCTGTGCTGAATATGGGCTGGACTTTCTCTGGGATGCAGTCACATAATGGTGTTCTGGCTGGAGATTTGGAGTGGCTTCCCCTGGAGCCCTGTTTTGTGTTGTCACTTTAATGGCCCAGGGGCAGTTCCTCCTGTGGTTTGTCATCTTGTTCAGAATTGCTCTGCCCAGTGTTGTCCATGTGATGGTGTCACCGGGCTTGGTCTACCTATCTGGCTGCTGCCCTGACTCCTCTGTGGTGGCTTTAATCCCCATTTTCTCTGCTTGGGTTTAGATTGCTTCCTGCATAGAGGCACTGGGGGCTCTAGTGCAGTTACTGGAGACCACAAAGCAAAGGAGCTAGGCTTTACTGTTTTGGTTTTTTTCTAGACTTATCACCAGACCCCACCACCTACCTTCTCCTTTCGAGAAAGGATAACTCACAAGAGTCTTATCTACCTCTGGTTCCTGTGCAGGTATTTAACTCAGTTTTGGTAGTTTTAAGGGGGGTGCAGCTTCAGGAATACCTTTTTAAGTGCCCACGTGCAGATAGAAACCCATCTGAGTGACCTTCCACTATTCTGCTAGTCTGAGGTTGGCAGTCAGCACTGCAGCACTTTGGGGCACAGGGAACATCAAGGATACTAGCATTATTTCTGGTTACTAAGTAATAAGGATGCAGGCATGCTTGGTATGTACCAAGTTAAACTCAGTTTTTGTTCATAGTACCTACCTAAAGGGTAGTGACTGCATTTATAGATGAGAAAAATGAAAACCAAGGGGTAAAGTCAGTTACTCCACGATACACAGGTAGCAATGGTAAAGCTGGGATGTGAACTTCATATCATCTCAGTCTGACTCCCAGTGCCTTTACTACCCTCCATTGTCTCATAGCATCAGTATTTTAGGAAATAATGAACATTTTTTTTCAGTAATAACCTTATTTTCCCACCCTCCTTTCCACATAATTTATTCTCAGCACACTTTCATTTTCACTGATGCTTTTTCAAATGCAGTGAAAAGCACGAGTTGATCTAGGATGTATGCCAGAATGTAAAGGCAGAGGTTGTTAGCCAGTTGTTATTGCTCAACTCAGTGTCCAGCCCTGTATAATTTCTACCAGTCTTTGCCTCTCCTTTCTTAGCTCTGTGGCACTGGCCCTGGGTGCCCTAACAGTATGGCATGCTGTTCTCATCAGTCGGGGTGAGACTAGCATTGAAAGACACATTAACAAGAAAGAGAGACGTCGACTACAGGCCAAGGGCAGAGTGAGTAGATTTGGGGGCTTGGATGGGCAGTCCAGTAACTGAACTTGCATCCTGTAAACACGGGCCATGATCAGGGTCACCTAGGCAGGTGTCATAAAAGACCAAAATTAGCTGGGTGTGGTGGTGCATGCCTGTAGTCCCAGCACTCAGGAGGCTGAGGCAGGAAAATTGCTACAAGTTCAAGGCCAACCTAGGCTACATAGTGAGTTTGAGGCCAGCCTGAACTGCATAGCAAGACCCTGTTTCCCTCTGCCCCCGAAAGAAAAAAAGGCAGAAAAGACCAGAATTGTCTACCCGAGCTTTAGTGTATCCATTTCAAAAGTGAGGAGGGGATTAAGTAGAAGTTTGTAGAAATGTGTGTGTTTTTCTTGGCCCTAGGTATTTAGAAATCCTTACAACTATGGCTGCATGGACAACTGGAAGGTATTCCTGGGTGTGGACACAGGAAGGTAAAGTAAGACAGAGACAACTGCTGTTCAGCAGAACTCTGTGATGAGGAAAAGTCTATACCTGGGAGAACCAGGTACTTAGAATACGGCTAATGCTACTGATGAAGGTTCCCCCACCCACCTAATACTGGGGATTGAACCTTGGACCTTTGCACTGAGCCACATCCCCAGCTGGTTTTTGGGGGGTTTTTTGAGACAGGGTTTTACTTAGTTGCTCAGGCTGGGCTTGAGCTTGTGATCCTTCTGCCTAAGCCTCCCAGAGTGCTGGAGTATATGTGTGTACCACCACACCCAGCTCACTGATGAGGTTTTAAGTAATTTCATTTCACGAGTTTAAATATACACCTGTGGCTAGGGGCTCATCTATGCAGTTCTAGACTCTAGGAATGGAGATCATTGCTTTCATTTGAACCAAAGGGGCCTGAAGCTTGAAGATGACTATAGTGGAATCCTGAGAAAGCTATTTTCAGAAGGGCCATTTAGGTAGGATGTAATGGTCATCAGTCACCTCTCACTTGTATGGCAGTGTCTGGATTAAAGCCAATATAAATATATGAGACTGAGATAATCTACTTGTGACAGAGGTCTTTAAAGGCAGCAAATGAGGCTAGCTCTCTGAGCCCAAGAAACAAGGGGAAATCATTCTTCAAATTGCAGTTACTGAGGCAGTTAACACCAGGTGAATGTAAGTTACTTTCCTTCTTCCCTTTCCCACCTTCATTACACTCCTGTCCAACACTGTGCTTTCAGTGGCCCCTCAGAACACTTGCTCAAAACTTCAAAAGGCCTTCAAGGTTCCAGAGGGTACATTTATTAGACACAGTAAGAGAAAGGAAATTAGAACTCTTGTTACTTTGGTGCTTGATGTATGGTTGCTGTGGAATAAATATGAAGGACAACCAAGAACTCTGGAACTCAGAGACCTTTCTGTTTTCTTTTGTAGGCATTGGCTTACCCGGGTGCTGTTACCTTCTAGTCATCTGCCCCATGGGAATGGAATGAGCTGGGAGGCCCCTCCCTGGGTGACTGCTCACTCGGCCTCTGTGATGGCAGTGTGAGCTGGACTGTATCAGCAACAGCTTGAGCATTCATTCTGCTGCCTGTGTCAAGGGCCTCCAAAGGCAGCTTTTCTTTGAATCCTTGATCAAAAAGAGCCACTGGGCCTGCCCTAGGGTACTATGCATTAACAACTTAAGAACTAACCTTGTGGTCACTGCAGAAGACACAATGTGGACAGATCCTAGGACTGATGTCACTTTACTCAGGCAAACAGAAGTTTTAGCCCCAGACTAGGGTCAGGCAGCTAGCTACCCCACCCTCCTTCAGATACAGCACTGGGGCTGGCCATCTCCTTTTCCACTTGCTGTCCGGGAAAAGACCTAAGCTGGAATCTTGGTTTCTCATTGGGGCAAAGACACCATGCCTGCTGCTGAGGTCACTGCCATTTCTCACATGCTACCAAAGGTAGCAAAAATAAAGGCATTTGATTTGTAAAGATATGTAGCTTCTCACTCATTGCCTCACTGTAGGGCAGGGGAAGGGAAGTTAGGGTCAAGGCCTAGTGAGGTTATAGTGGTGCCTCTGTCCTGCAGAGTCCTTCGCTCATTCCTAACATTGCTAATCCTCTAGGCCAGTCATGGCCCTATGTGCTACAGAGGCAACAGCAGGGTGGGGGTGCATATCTAACAGTCAGCCCTATTACCCAAAGAAATCTTTATTCTCTAATAGGTACACACATTCACCATCCCTGATCCTCAGGGCCACACTCATCTGGATTCATCCTTCAGTAGCACAGCTCACTTTGCCTGATACGAAGAGCCCCATAATCCAAGATCTTTCTTCAAACACAAGAGTTCTTGCTCAGCTACTTCACAAATCTATTAAAGTCAGGACTCTGATATTTCTTGTACAGCAATGCAACAGAGGCCCAGCACTTGCACTCTATGGGAAAGGCAGGCAGAGGCCAGTGATCTCCCTGCCATGGGCAACATGGCTCAACAGTTAGTAATTCCAAATTAGATTGTTTATCAGACGAGACTTGCTCAGGAACAAGGGCTCAGCTGCCAGGGCTCCCTAGCAGAAACCTGCAGGCAGAAAAAGATGTTGGCAGCATTAGCAGCAAGGCTTATCTCAGTTCCAACCCTTCCCAAGACCTAGAACTCACCACTCTCCCCTGGCTGACACTGCTTCCTTGCGCACCAGTCTCTTCTTGTCGTCAAGGGGCTTGGCTAATGCCCGGATCACCTGTGGTTTATATGGCAGCAACTGTGGAGTCAGAGGAGAAAAATCTTAGCCCTGTTCAACCATGGCAACCAGATGTGCTGCTTCTTTTGACTCTGTAACTAATACTTGGAAGATAGGAAAACATGTTCTATTCTTTTTTTGGTGCTGCAGATTGAACAAGGGCCTGGTACATGCTAAGCACATGCAACATGTCCTAAACTTTAAAAATTCCAGAGGAAGCCAAGTGGTAGGATGGCCATTGTATTACAGGACGTTCAGGATTTAAGAGGTCCATTCTGACCCCAAGGGTGGAGAGGACCTTGTGCCTATCTGTACCTTGTAGTTCAGATCTTATTTACACTGCAGGGTAGCTAGTCTCACTTGACGAAGGCAAAGAGTACTTCAATGTCTCTTCTAAGATGTTCCCTGGCCAGGGAGGACAGCTGAGGTACTCACCACAGGAGTGGGCAAGCGAGTAAGAGCATGCATACACTGCAGTGCAGCAATCCGGACAGCCTGGAACACAACCAGAAGGAGGTGAGGGAAGACCTGAGGAGAGATGAGGTGCCAAAGGCATGCTGGGGCTCAACGCACCATGGAAGGGCTGGAGCTGAGGTTCAGAAACTTGGTGACCAGCATGTCAACGTGAAGACTCATGACCTGAGGTGCTTCCAGTAGAAGAGGCTGAAGGCAGCTGAGGGTAGAGAGCTGAACCACAGAGTCAGAGCAGGACAGGGCCTCCAGGAGCAGGGAAAGAAGCTAAGAGGCAATAGGAAAGGGAGGGATGATCATACTGTGATGCTCCTGGTTCTCTTCGTCTTCCCCTTTCTAGCTCCAGCTATGGGGGAAGAGCTTTGTCCCTTGCCTGGAGGCTGACTGTACAACTTACTGTGGGCAGTTCTGGCAAGAGCACGGGCTTGGGCAGCCTGTGGAGTACATGCGACAGACCCTTCAGGTAGTTTGGCTTCACATCTGTAAGAAGGGGAGAAGCTAGTTTGATCCCCGGTACCAAAAAAAAAGGGGGGGGAAGCTTAGGGGAGAAAACTGGGCTTAGACATTCAGCTTGAGAGTTCAATATCTGACTATGCTGGAACATCAGCCTATAAAAAGAAGTGGGGAAAAAAAGTCCCTTGAGTTCAGAGTAAGCAAGACATGTCCCTATTAATTTTCTAGGTATACACCACAGTATAGCTCTAAAGCAGCACTTGGCTCTCAAATTATTTTAGGGACGGTGGCCAAGGGAAGGACAGGTCTATATATCTGGAGCCCTTTCTGACTCTTCTTACCTTGGGGAGCAGCATGGAAGCCTTGGACCAAAGCAGGCACATTGTCTGTGAAAAATCGCTGGCGAAACATGATCCGCACTTCAGCATGGCTAGCTCGAGTCAGCACATCAGTGCAGTCAGACATGAGCAGAGAAAAGCCATCAGCTGCTGCTGGGCCTAATTCTGGGTCACTCAGGAGGCCCATAAGCTGGAGAAAAGAGAGCCTTTCAAGCACATCACTGGAGAAAAATCTTAAAAATGAGGATGGAAATCACTTCTGGGAGACTTAACAAGAATTTCTATCTCCTAGGAAGACTTACCCGAGCTGTAAGGGAGGAGTTGAGAGGATGGTATCTGAGTACTAGGGCCTTTGTTACCTATAGTGAGAGAGAGAGAAGCTTTGGCCTGACTTTCAGAACCCCAGACCCCTGAGACACAGCTGCTTATGGCTCAGGGTCAAATAGGGATATTTTACTTAGTCACAGTTGCTGTGCTTAGTCAGAATCTACTCCATCTCCTTACCCAGAGCAGCAGTGTGAAGGCCTGATGACGAAAGGGCCCAGAGCCCAGGCCACTGTCCACTGCATCCACAGCCAGCTGCAGGAATTCATCCAGCTGCTGCCCTGAGAAAGGAGGACATGCTGATGCAATAACAACTCTTTTTTCTTTTAATGGTGAATGATGGAAATCATTTAAGTGCACAGCACCCAAGAAACCATTAGAAAAAGTATTTTGCCTGTGGACATGAAAGCCTGGTAAAGGCTTTCATGATGCAGGGGTGCTAGCATTTGTGAACGGAGGGTTGCCTACTCCCACTGAGGACTTATCTATGACATTGCCACTGTTTTTTCTTTGAACTCGGGTCCTTGCACTTACGAGTCAGGTGGAAGAACCACTGAGCTAACTCCCTGGCCCTGCATTGCCACTGTTAAGGCCTCAAAATGCTTTTTTTTTAGCCCCTGTAATGCTGTGCCCAATTCTTGTTCCAAGGGCTGTCCAAAGACAGTGCCTGAACAGGTGAAGCCCTATCATGTTATTAAAAAGCCTTTTTTTTTTTAAAGGAGAATGAGGAATGAACTTGAAGATTCCTTTGGTAGGTAATTTGGGGAGACTCTAACCCAAGCTTGCTCCAGTACCTGCAGGGAGTTTGTTGAGGAGTCCTGCAAAGCACTTGGCAGCAGCAGTGGAGGAGAAGGGGCAGCTGTGGCAGCAGCTCAGTTCCAAAAGCTCCCTCATGAGTTGGTTCAGCTGAGGGATTTCCACCTACAGAAAACCTGGCCATGTAATGGACCCAGAAAAAACTTGAACTCCAAAAGAATCCCAGTAGAAACTGGCAGCAGGGACAAGAGTGGACGAGAACTACTCCAATGAGTAAAATATCAACTTGACTGTGGCAAATTTCAGCCCTGAGAGCCACCTGCCTAAATGTGCTCACTTACATTTTGAGGCAGGGAACACACAAAGGCCATAAGCAGTGCAACCAGCCGCCTCTGGCCCGAGGAGCCATCCTGTAAAGGAAGAAGAGCCCCTATCAAGCAGGTCCTGCAGCAGTAGGTTTGTCTGCCTCCATAACTACCCCAGATTAGCCCTGAAAAATGTTTGAAGAACATAAATTCCAAGATTCTTTTCCATCTAATTCATCAGATGGTCACCTGGAATGGCTGGAATCTGCTTGGGAAGCTGTTTTCAGGCAGAAAGGAAGTGTTGCCGTCCAAGAAGAGGGACACTATGCGGGTGACACTCTGGGCTGCTAACCTGGGGGCAGAGTATTTGGTGTTACCAAGTAGCTAGGATTCTAAGGCAGCTCTCCTCTTCATACAGTGCCTTTCAGCCTGAGGTTCTCATTAGGGCCACTTCTCATTAGGATCAGCCACGATCATTCACATACTTTACAAATATTAACATGATACATGTTATGTGCCTGGAACCATTCCCATTCTAGTCTGGTGATGGGAGCTGTGGACCAGATAGATCAAACTGCTATTCTCTTAGAGCTTACAATCTAGCGAGGAGCTCAATGGATTTTTTTTGGAGGGGGGTACTGGGGTTTGAACTCAGGACCTTCTGCTTATGGGGCAGGAGTGATGCCACTGAGCTAAATCTCTGGCCTCAATGCATATATATTTTAAATGTTCCACAGGTAATTCTGCAGCTAAAAACTATTGGGTAATGGTTTACCCACCCCCACAGTGCTAAAATCACCTCCCTTTTGTTTCATCAGTCAAACTTAAATAACTGCCTTCACATTGATGTACAGGTACAAGGACAGCTGACAAGGCAACTATCTGTTGCTTCTGGAGATTGGTCTCCTCCCTAGGTTCAAGCCACATCCAGTCACACTCACTCAGAGGTTAAGTGAGTAGTGGCAGTGCCAATGACAGACACCATGGCAGCCAAGACCGCATCCTCCAACAGCACTTCTCTTAAAACAGAGGGCTCCTTCTCTGGAAAAACAAAACACCAACACACAAACATACACACAATCACAAGGCCATGACGATGGTTCAGAAATCCAAACGATTGGTTCCTAACCCCATCATGATGGGCTGGCCTGCAGCCAAAAAGGCATTCTTAAATCTGTCCTTTAGCAGTGCTGTGATCCTGAGAAATAGCAAGCCCCAGAAAGAGCAGTGGCCTAGATGAGCTGGGACCACGGAACCCTTGGAAATTATTGTGCAAAATCCTTAGAGTAGGCTAATATGAATGTTCCAACATTGGAACTTGAAATGTTGACCTTTTGAGAATTTTAAGAAAACCCAAATTTATCTTTACAGACCCTTCTTTATAGTGACTATCATATACTGGGCCCTTAAGGTGTGGCCAGACACAATAAATTACCTTAATTCTTTTTTTTTTTGGTACCAGGGATTGAACTCGGGTCCTTCCGCTTGTGAGGTAGGCTTCGGAACCACTGAGCTAAATCCTCGGCTCCTCTCTATCCTCATTTTACAAGTGAGGGAGCTAAGGGTTAGAAAGGCTGGGGTATCTTCACCTAAGTTAGCAAACTGATGGTGAAACCAAACCAAGCCTGCTTGACTGCAAAGCCTAGTTGTAACTAGTAATATAGCAGTTAAAGGGAAACAAAGTGGGCATCTTTTTTGAATGTTGCTAACTAGTGGATTTTGGTTCTTGTGATTGTTCACGTTGGCACCTTTTGTCCTGAAGTAAAAATTTCATTTGTGGGGACAAAGGATTCATATACTGATGGTAGAAAATGCAGTACCACCAATACCCACGGGGTGGCAGTGCTGTCCAAACAATAGCAGAAGGCAGAATTCTGAGAGGATGGAAGTGGAGAAAGTTACCTGGCATGGAAGCCTGAACAGCCAAAGCAAGCAACCAAGGTACAGCTGTCTGATGGAAATACCAGCAGCTCTCAGGGTCTTGCTGGCATTTTTCTGCCACCTGCTGGAGACTCTGACAGACAGCAATAATGTCACTGGGTCCTGTAACCACATTCCCTGTGAGGTGAGAAAATCAGTATTCTCTTTAAAATGTTCTCACAAACACTTTCAAGTATTTCCGATATAGCAGATGGGAAGAACAGACAAAGACAATGACTGAAGAGACCAAGAATGTCTTATAAAGACCAGAGCCACTGTATTTTCTTGGCTGTGAGTGTACCTCTATTCAGATTTCAAAATTAAGACTGGATCTGTGCTAGGCTTAGTAATACAAATATTCACTTACATTCTTTCCTTTGTTTGTATCACTTCTCTCACTTTACAGAGGACGTGGAGGCTCAATGAGATTATCAGTGTTTCTTCCAGGGTCACAAGAAGTGCAAAGTCAGAAAGCAGACCCTTGTCAGGGTCTGAGTCTAGTATTCTTTCCACTAAATAACTGCTGATCAAGCAATGTGTACCTAGGTTTGCCTACAATGGCTAGGCAGTCGAAGTTAGTGAGGAACCAGGGTGACCATGCATAGGTTCCCAGTGGCAATAGCTACTGTAACTTTGGCCTTAGAGCAGTGCTTCTCAGACTGGTTGGTGCCTACAAGTTACTTGTTCACATGTAAATTTTCTTTTCTTGCTATATAGTTCAGGCTGACCTTGAACTCACTAGGTAGTCCAGGCTGATCTCAAAATCCTGGTGATTCTCCTGCCTCAGCCTCCCAAGTGCTGCGATTATAGGTGTGTGTTACCACACATGGCTCGAAATGCAGATTCTTACTAGTGAGGTCCTAAGATTCTGCATTTCTAATGAACCTGCAGATACTGCCCAGGCTATGTTCGATGGATTGTATTTTGAGGACCACCATGCTTTATACTGGTGCCTCTCGATTCTGATCCTAAGTGAAAATCAGCAGGGTACGCTTCATAATTACTGTTGTGCAAATCCCAACCCTCCTCAGAGACTGATACAACAGGACTAAGGCCCAGGTGTCAGTATTTCTTTTTTTTCCAAGTTTACCATGTCCACAGAAAGGCAAATATTTTGTGTTTGAAATAATGCTTAGCAGAATCTGGAAAGGGTATGGAGTGGGGAATGGAGAAAGAATAACAAGTATAAGAGTACTGTTGGATAGGAGGAATAACTTCTCATGTTCAATGGCTCAGTAGGGTAACTATGGCTGATAACAATTAATTGAATATTTCTTTTCTTTTTCCCGCTAGGGATCAAATCCACATCCTCACTAAATGAATATTTCAAAGTAAGTAGTAGAGATGATTTTGAATGTTTTCAAATACAGAAATAAGTATGTAAGATGATAGATAATGTACAGCTACAATTAGAAACACTTCTTAAGAGGTGTTGACTCCAACCCAGGCTGCAGTTCCTCATTCAGCCCACCTGCTTGATTATTCCAGGTAGTTACCTTTGTTCATCCTCCAGAGATGCTCCAGCAGCAGAGGCAGTGTCTCCTTGACGATGCTGGGATGTGTTGAAACAGCTGACAAAGCTTGCAGACAGCGCAGATGCTGTGAGCATTTGGTTGACCCATCTCCTCTAGCTAAGTTAGACTTCCCTGAAAGGAACCAGAGAGACAAGGTTTCACTTTGTGATGGCAAGCAAGAAGGGTCTCAAAGCCTTGCTGGGATGAGTTGGGCTACAGAAGACTATTAGCCACACATACCTCTGTGCAGCTCCTCAGCAAGCTTGGGTACCAGATGGCTGCTGAAGGCCACAGGGTAGAGAGTGGCCAGGGCTCCTGAGGCTTCCAGTGCTGCCACCCTGTGAGGCACAGAGCAGATGAACATTACCATCAGCTAAACGGGCCCACCATCCTCTTGCTAAGGACTGCCATTGGGCAGATCCAGCAATATGGGCACCCAAGGCCACCTTGTTGAAGAACAGGACTCAAATACCTACACTACTGAGTTGGACAGGGCTTCTTAACACTCAAGAAAAGAGAGAGCAGTCCCATTATCTCTCCAACTGGTTATCTCCCTAAGGAGAGACAAGGGTCAGAAGCATAGAGCCCCTGGCCCCTGCTACATCTGTTGCTGTCGATTCAGAGGCAGAGAACAGCTTGCTCTACCTCCCTGGTTTAGAGTCTCACCAGCTCTGGGAATCCTCCTCCTGGAAGCTCAGTCTGTACAGGTGACCCACTGCCTGTTCCAAGTCCTCAGAAGATAGGAAATCTATGGGTAGAAGGAAACATAAATCTCATTTTTCTTCCTCTGTAGTCACCACAACCTTGCCAAAAATACTATTAGAAATCTGAAATCACCCTAGTATTATAGTTTTCTTAATACAGAAAACTGTAAGGAAGGGATCAATCTTTTCTCTTTCCCTTGAGATGTACCTGGCTGGGCACCCAAGACTGTGATTGCACGGATGCCAACAAGCTGAAGCTGGGCGCTGGAGTCTGTTAGGGCCATGAATACCAATGAACACAGCTGGTCCTTGAAGTCACTCAGAGTTCTTTCATCTAGGGAGAGACAGAAGCCAGGTTAGAAGGAAGCCTTTACATTTTGTATCCCTCACTTAGCAGTGGTGCAAGATGATTAGGAGTAGATTTTAAGATCTTAATCCACTGTGGGTCCAGGAGCACACTAGAAACATAAAGGGGTCTCATCCATTTAGTACGCTCTTTTGCTACAGCCCCAGCACAAGAGGACCAATATTCTAGACTACTTTTCTTGTCTTACTATCCTTTTTGGACCACAGGACTCAAGTGCCCCCAGGATACCTTACCTTTATCTTCATAGCTCCACCTCTGCTGCAGCTTCAAGAAACCCAGGATCATTTCAAGGATTGTCCGCCTCTGGTTGCTCTGTAATGTTTCAAGGGGTACTGGAGTCAAAGAATATTTTAAAGGATTTCAACTCTGCTATTCTGGAGCTGGTGAGAATTATCCTTTTATGTATGACTAAGTCTGGGAAAGTGAGTAAGGGAACAAGCGGCAGCATATGGGAATGAAACCCCAGATCTGGGCCCAAGCTAAAGCTTCATTCTCTCTCTCTTCTGAGAAAGGGATCCTAGCATTCAGGTCTCACTGTCTCCCACAACACTGTGGTTTTTTTTGGTACCGGGGATCAAACTCAGGACCTTGCGCTTGCGAGGCAGGCGCCAGAACCACTGAGCTAAATCCCTAGCCCAACATTGTGCTTTTTTACCTGACTGTGCTTGTGAAATTGTTCCAGAAGTAAAGGCAGTACGTTGCTGGTAATGTGGTCACAGGCCCGGGCAGATGCACCTGTAGCTGCCTGCAACAGCTTGGCACTAGGCCATACCAGTTTCATGTCCGGTTCACACAGATGGTGCCTGCAGTCTAGAGAGGCAGCAATCACAGACCTGGGGAGTAGGCCAAATGTTGCCTGATTCCCCTATAGTCCACAGAAGTTGAAGACTGAGACCTGGAACAGTTTAGCAGCAGTTACTACTCAATTGTCTTCAATTCAAAGTAGAGCTGCAGCCCCCAAATCACTGAACTTATGAAGGGTCACTGGCCCTTGAGGAATGTAATCTCTATTGTGCTCTCTCTCCTTTCAGGCTGCCACAGTTCCATTACCCTGTAGAATGTTGCTAAGGAAGGTGTCAAGAAGGTCCTCTGCATCAGCACTCAGCACAGAGCGAGACAAACACGCAGTCAGGGAGTGAAGGGCTGCCAGGCCTTCTGCCTCCACCTGCTCACTTGCTGTCTGGAACACCTGATGGAAGGATCCCATGGCTACTGAGGTGAGCTTTCACAGGTGAGATCCCACCCACCCACTGCCTATTTCCTCAAAGAGGAAGGTTGAGAACTTTTTTTGGTGGTACTTGGGATTGAACCCATGGCCTCTGCACTGAGGTACATCTCCAGCTCTTTTTTTCACTTATTTTGAGACAGGGCCACTAAGTTGCGTAAGCTGGGCTTGAACTTGTGATCCTCCTGCCTCAGCCTGCCAGAGTGCTGGGATTACAGGTGTGGGGCACCATACCCAGCAGTTCAGAACTTTTAGGGCACAGCAACAGAAATCAACCCCCAACTCAATGTCTTCTCCACTGGTTATCCTTACCAAGTCCTTACTTCCACTAGAGAAACACACAATTTTTGAGAAACAGTATGTCAACTCTGAGCAGTGGTTGTTGCGATCCCCTATGCTAAATTGCATTCTTCTTCTCTATTTAGTACGCCCACACCATGACCTGTGCTCTTTGCCATGGGAGTACAGGAAGTGGGCACCATGCAAAGGTGATCACTATGCTCTCACCAAGCAACTGTCTCCCTTGTCATTCAACTAGAAGTATGTCCCCTTATTTACCTGCTGAATAACCAAAACAGTACCCTGACCCTAGGGACAATAGGGAAGAGGACAGGGTGCATTATTTCCCCTCATAATGGACTAATGGGAATTAACTGTAGTGAGTTCATCTCAGTAACGCTCACCTCTCTGCGGATAGAAGCCCAAAGGCTGGGAAGGAAGTCCTTCAGTTCTTTTTGCCCATACACAGCACAGCAAGCATTCTGCCAAGGCAACAGCAAATATCAGCTAGTTATACACTAAGATATCCTGGGACAGGCAGGTACCTCAGCATAGAGACACCTAAGGGAGCCTGGCTCTCAACAGAAAAGCCAGTAGGATGTCATAACAGTCTTCTTTGGGGCACAGAAAAACAGGAACTCATCCTAATGACAAAGAAATGGAGGTCTGGTCAGCCTTTCCTCAGTTACTACAGGAGAAGACAACATGCAGCTGGGGTCTTTAGGTCAACAAACAGACCCAAATCTTGGTCCTTCTTGAGACTCATGGACAGTTTTCTGCTAAGACACTATATCTTTTAGTACCTCTAACTTGTCTAAAGGTAGTTATATCCTGCAAGGAGAAAAAAAAAATCACTCACCAGAGTCTGCAGTGAATCCAGCTTGGCACTCAGAATCTCAGAATCTACTTTCTCAATCAACAGGGGCAGTAGGAACTGTGTGAGAGAAGAAGGAACTTAATCCTGAGCTAGATAGGGTCTGAGCAACACCAAAATCGATCATGTCCTTTTGCCACCAGTTTCAATGCATAGGTGCTATATAAAGGAGCTATACTTAAGTTAGGAGTTGTGATTGTAAGCTACCTTTCCTCCTTAACTCTGGCTATGGCCTTCATTACTTGAAAATGAGCAAGTTGGCAAAGCTAGAGGATTTCAAAAAAATAGCCTCATCTAGGGATGGGACTATTTTAAGAGAGAGGGTGGTAAAGTTTCTTATATCAGAAGTCTAAGATACTTGCCACACAAGATGACCGCAAGGTGTCATACTCTAAAATGTACACTAGCTCACTCTTTCTTCTGAGAGTTTACTGTTCTTTCTTCAGAGCCTTCTCTGGGGAGAGACTATCTACCCTAACTAACAATGGGTACACCTACCTCAGCAAACTGTGGCGTAGAAGCCAGCACCACTCGAAGACTCAGGATGAGATCTTCTCTCTGGATACCATGGGGATCATTAGGTGGCTGGAAAGGGAGAAGGGCCATGGGTTTGTGTAAATTTTCAGACCACCTTTGGACACAGGCTTGAACCTGGCAAACCTGTAGACAAGGGTGATATTTATACCCGATCTAGCAGAACAGTATGATATGAGGCCCCAGGAAGGAGACATGCTTGCTCTTCTGTGTTCTCTGATAATTTTTGTCTTTCAGGCCCTTAGCTTTCAATTTCATCACACGTTTTCTATTTGATCTATTATTTTACCACTTAGCGTTAAGCATCCTTAACTTTTTGGTGTAATGCTTTCTTCTCTGTGTTTATGCTTGCTTTACATATATGATCCATAATTTATTTTTATATTTAATACATTAAGAATATTTTAAAATGGTATTATTCTTTTACAACATTAGTTTTAGTTTTCATTGTGTTTCAGCCACAGGTTATTTAAGTAACTCTTTGCTAGACGTTTCTATTTTTTTCACCCATATAAAAAGCTGTAACTTGGGCCAAGGATTCAGCTCAGTGGTTCCGGTGCCTGCCTTGCAAGCGCAAAGTCCCGAGTTCGATCCCTGCTACCAAAAAACAAACAAACAAAAAAAGCTGTAACTCTGACAACATGAAAGAGATTAATGATTAATCTGTGAAGATTAAAAACATCAATCAAAAAAAAACAAACAAAAAAACCAAAAAAAACCCATCAATCAGATTTTCCTTTTCTCTTTTGGAAACTGCAACATAAACTCAATATAGAGATTTTCTTTCTTTAAAGACAAAGTTATAGGTCAAAGAACAGAGTAAGAGATACTAGCAATAAGGGCCAGGGATTTAGCTCAGTGGTTCCGCCGCCTGCCTCGCAAGCGTAAGGACCCGAGTTTGATCCCTGGTACCAAAAAAAAAAAAAAGAGAGATACTAGCAACAAAATTTTTTTTTTTTGGTACTGGGGATCGATCTTGGTTCCTTGTGCTTGCACAGCAGGTGGCGAAACCACTGAGCTAAATCCCCGGCCCTAACAAAATATTATAAGCTGAAAAGCAAAGCAGATTGATAAGAAAATGACTCAACAGACCCAAGATAAAAGAATTCTAGGTAAACCTGGGGAAGGCTGGATAAATATATACTGCATAGTCCTCAAAATGTTTTGGAGTTGGAAATTCCATGTACCTTTGGGGTTGGGAATGGGGCTAGAGAGGCAATATGGGCCCAAGACTGACTCCTTGCTCCTCCCTAATAGAAGCAAAATCTGGAGGTTTACTTTTTTGGAGCAGGTAAGACAGAGAAGATGCAGGTGCAGCAGAGGGCCTCAGTGCTACACCAGAAGAGGGGTCTAAGAGACACAGTACTGAGTGCTATTTTCAGCTCCTTCGCTTAAAGTCAGATCTCTTCATAGGCAAACCAAAGATCTTTCTCTGGAAGGACCTGACTAACTCAGGAAAAGAACTTTGGGGCTTCCCTAGACTATCTGAGTAAGCCAGTCTGTAATGAAGCTCTCACACTTAACGATCCCATTCTATGTGCTTAGAACTTCCACTTCACTTTATAATCCTCATTTTGAAACATGAATAAACTCCCAAAGATTAACAAAATAAACTGAAAAAAACTTGAAGGGAACAGGATTATATAGGGAGAAGACATATTTAAAAATAACACTTCATCAATGTTTTTAGAGACAGGTAAGAGAGTTGTATGCCTGTAATAACAGCACTCAGGAGCCTGAGGCAGCAGGATCGCTGTGAGTTCCAGGCTAGCCTGGGCTATACAGTGAGTTCCAGGACAGCCAGAACTACAACCCTCCCCCGTAAAAAAGAGAAAGAGGGAGTATTAAGAGAAATTTATCCATGTATTAAATAAGAACAGAATGCTATAAAAAAATTCAGAGGTTGCAACCCATTCAGGACCCCTCCTGTCTCTCAGGAGCTATCCCTCTTCCCCATTCTTATTCCCTATCCCTATTCCCCATCCTATTTCCCAATAAATTTTCCTACTCTTAAAAAAAAATAAAAAAAAAATTCAGAGGTCAGTAACAATGAAAAGCTCTTGAAATTTGTTTTGTTTTGTTTTTTGGTACTGGGGATCAAACTCAGGTCCTTGCGCTTGTGTAGCAGGTGGCGAAACCACTGAGCTAAATCCCTGGCCCAAGCTCTTGAAATTTAAAGCGTGAGTAAAGAAAAGTCTTTGCTTGATTAAGAAAAATGAATCCATAATTTATCTGTGTTTATTTTACCTAGAATATCCTTGGGAAAACACATAAACAGTTGGGAATAGAGATTATTTCTAAAGAGAAAATGAATGTAGTTGTAGAGGAGTATGAGAAGCTCTAACTCTCACCAACAGGAAGACAGCTGCCCCAAGAAAGTCATACACCTTCTGACTGTGTGAGGTATGTCCATGAAGGACAACAGATAGATAACCAATAACCATTGCCTCTCCGCCTTTTGGCTAAGATCAAGTGTAGATAACCAATAACCAAGAGAGTCCTGAAGATCAGAATCAAGGACTTCATGGGCCAGGGATTTAACTCAGTGGAGCTGTGCCTGTCTGGTACCCCGGGGGAAAAAGAAAAACAACCAAGGACTTAGTGAGCTAAACTGAACCTCTCCTCTTTTAAAAATTATATGTATGGCCTGGAGATTTAGCTCAGTGGTTCTGCTGCCTGCCTTGCAAGCGCAAGGTCCCAAGTTTGATCCCTTACCAATAAATAAATAAATAAAAATAAAATAAAATAAAATGAAAATTATATATATAAATCAACCAAAGACTTCCAGGCTAGCTAAAAAATTTACTCCATTTGCCACAGTACAGTGTCTTCCTTAGTACTGGCAGGCACTATGGAGAGTTGCTTCCAAAAAAGTAAAGGAGGGGCTGGAGATTTAGCTCAGTGGTTCTGCCACCTGCCCCGCAAGCGCAAGGACCCGAGTTCAATCCCTGGTACCATCCCCCCAAAACAAAAAAAAGTAAAGGAGTATGGGGCTGGGGATTTAGCTCAGTGGTTTTGCCGTCTGTCTCGCAAGTGCAAGGTCCAGAGTTCCATCCCCAGTACCAAAAAAAAAAAGTAAAGGAGTATGACAGAGGTTTCTGTAGCCTTTAAATGTTGAATTCTGCTTATTTTATTACCTTTCAAGAAAATGTATGAGATACTCTTCTTCAAATTGTAAATGCACATATTTTCTGGGCATGGTGGCACACACTGGTAATCCCAGCACTTGGGAGGCTGAGGCAGGAGGATCACTGCAACTTTGAGGCCAGCCTGACATAATGAGTTTAAGACCAGCCTGAGCTATACAGTGAGACCCTGCCTCAAAAAAACAAGCACATATTCTTTGACTTAGCAGTTTCATTTTTGGTAATCTTGTTGTTAAACCCATGTATATATCAGTTGCAGCACTGCTTGTAATAGCAAAAGATTAACAAAAGGGCCAGGGATTTAGTTCAGTGGTGCCGCCTCCTGTCTCACAAGGGCAAGGTCCTGAGTTTGATCCCTGGTACCATAAAAAAACCCCAAAAAACCAAAAACAAATAAACAAGAGAGCTAATTTATATACCGATAAGGTATACTAAGATAAAGAACTCTCCAAGATATACTGGTAAATGAAAAAAAAAAGCAAAGTGCAGGAAATGTATTTGTATATGCTACCAAGGAGAGGAGGGTAGAATTTGCTTTCATAAGGATGAAAAAGTTCTATAAAGATACATTTGCTGGGTGTGGTGGCACACACCTGTAACCCCAGCACTCGGGGAGAAGGCAAGGCAAGAGGATTGGCTTCAAGGCCAGAGCTCCACAGTGAGTTCAAGGTCAGTCAGATCCTGTCTCAAAAAACAAAACAGAAGGGGCTGGGGTCCTGAGTTCAATCGGTACCAAAACAAAACAAATGAACAAACAAAAAAACCCCAAAACAGAACAAAAAGATACAGACATAGCTGATAAAATTAGTTGAGTATGAAGAAAAGTATAGCAGGAAGATTTTTCAACCTTTTGTACCTTTTTAACTTTGAATTATGTGAATGTATCATCTTTTCAAAAACAAACAAAACACAACATAAAACAAACCAAAACCAGAAAAACCTGGTAGCAAGCCAGGATCTTTCAATATTTCAAAGGCACAAGTTCTTCTGGGTTATAAAGGTTAGTTATTATGAAAAAAATGGAAAGAATTTCAAGAGAGAGATGGTCCCAAGCAATGTGATATACCAAATGAAATAAACTGGTAAATACAGTGGTACCTTGGTTCACGAACTTCATTCTTTCCACGATTCTGGCCACAAACCAAGTTAGATGAGAACCGAATCAAATTCTATAGTTAGGTTCAATGTTGACTTTATGGAGAAATTTGATTTGGTTCTTGTCCAGTTCAGTATGCGACCAGAATCAAGGAAAGTTTGTGGACCAAGGCACTGTAATTCCTTGCAACAAAAATGGCTGTGGTTCTTTATCTTTTTCTTTTCTTTATCAGGGATCAAACTCAGGACATTGTGCTTGCCAAACAGGCATTGTGCCCGCTGAGCTACATCCCCAGCCCAGCTGTGACATTTTAGCCAAAAGGCCGAGAAGCTATGTTTTTGTTTTTGGTACAAGGGATCAACTGAGGACTTGAGCTTGGGAGGCAGACATGGTACCACTGAGCTAAATCCCCAGCCCTATGGCACTTTAAAGTGAGAGTCCATAGTCAAATGTTTGGTATGCTGCAACAGAACTTTCATTTCTTCCACATTATTAATGCTTGCAGTACACATATCCAGTGATGGGACCTTGACTATTTGGGAGTAGAACAGAAATCAAATGCAGGGTAAGAGGAAGACCCAAGAGAGTCAAAGCAAATATGTCCTAAACATAACTGTACTTAACAGTGCCTTTTTTGTTCTGTCAATTTGTTTCTATTGACTAAGATGTCTTCTCCAACTCCAGAATCATAATCCATGCATTGCTCTGAAACCAATCAAAATCCTACCTTATCTGGCTATTCTAGCTCATACTAAAGTCTGTGTTCTCAGAACTACAGTACTACTCCTTTTGGTACCTAATCTCTTATTGTCACTTAAATGTTTCAACTTTCAAGGGCAGGGACCATATTTTACAATCCTGTTGGTCGCAGCACCAAGTACACTGTTAAGGAACTTAAGGAGCCCCAGAAATATCTGCTGATATGTCGGGAACCATTCTACATAATTTTGGGAAAAAATTATTTCATAATTCAAGTATGACTATAGCTATCTAAGGCCCAAAGTCTCCTTGTCCACAGAGGCTATTGCATGTGGAAAGATAACTAAGATAACTCCGTTTTTGCCTCCGGTCACAGCTGAGGCCTCAATGGTCCCATGATGCTGTGGTGCTCAAGGGCAAGATTACATCAGCTGAAGACATCCTGGTTCTTTGAGAACCGAGTAGTAATAACAAAGGAGAAAGGTTTCACCTGGGGAGGAACAAATTCCTTATCAGTTTAACTCATCCCACCTCTTACTGTAAGAATGCTCCCTTACTGCGTTCATCATCCTAAGATCCTCATCAATCTAACATTTTCATCAGCATAAGATCCATATTGACATAGGATTACCACTGGCCCCACCTGATACTCCCTCCAATTATTGTGCTCACCCAATAAATAGTGGTTAGCTCAGAGTCTTTGTCTTTGCCCACTCTTGAGGCACTGACCTCCTGGCCCTCCATATACTTTGTTCTGCTTTTTTAGTACCAGGAATTGAACTCAGGACCCTGTGCTTATGGGGCAGGCGCAACACCACTGAGATAAATCCCCAGCCCACCCCATATACTTTGAAATTACACAAGTCTGTTGTCTTTTTTTTTCCTTTAGGCTTTGCTGTCCCCCTTTCTAGGCAGTCGGAGGACTGATCGCCCTCCAATACTGATATAAAGCCTTCTTCCAACATCAAATGCTTTTCTATTTCCCAATTCACTAAAATTTTTTTCTGTGAGAATTTTATTACTTTTTCATGTGCATATGTGTGTGTATATGTGTTTCTGGGGATTGAACCCAGGGCCTCATGCATGCTAAGCAGGTACTTTACCACTAAGCTACATCCCCAGCCCCACTCCTGTCCATGAGGATTTTAAACGTAAGTCTGAGGACTGTCTATTTTGCGCATCTGTAGCCTCAATACCTGAAACAGAGCATATACACCACAGGTACTCAATGAATATTTAAATGAAAGAAGGAAGGTGCTACTTACAGGAGTAAAATCAATAGGGAAATAACAGGATGTCACTTCAAACAACTCCTCCACAAAGGGTCCTGGGGCAAGAGAGAAAGAATGAGGCTGACTTATTAGCTTCATTTACCTGACAAGCCTCAACTGGCTAATTCATAGCTATCAAGACATACCCAAGCTGTAATCCCTAGAGATGAGGTCATGGACAATGCGGAAAGCCACCAGAAGGTTACGGGGATCTTTTTCTCCATCCATCACCTGGATGAAGCCAAATGTGAAGTCAGCTCCTAGACCTTTTAGCTCTGGGAAGGAGAGAACACGGTCACTACTGTCCCATGGGATAGGAAGCCTGGGCTTTCTCCTAGGAGACCTGTGTTCTGTTCACATGCTCCCCTTTCCTGCCTCACAGAGCAGATCCTTTTTTTTTTTTGGTACCAGGGATTGAACTCAGGTCCTTGCGCTTGTGCAGCAGGTGGTGAAACCACTGAGCTAAATCCCCGGCCCCAGAGCAGACCCTTTTTGTTTTCGTATTCTGAGAGAAGTATTCAGTGAAGAGATGTGCAACAATACACATAAATTGCTATAGTGGTAAGCATTTAAAACCTTTACTGGAAGGAGAGTGGATCCCCAGCCTTGCTTTTATCATTTTCAGAGTATGAGCTCTTCTATATAGCTCCCAGCTACAATAAGTCCTGCTAATGGGGAAAAAAATTAGCATGTACTCGCTTTGCAGATTTCCCAGAGAGCTCTGTTGTTTACCTTCTTCTCGAGTTCGCATGAAGTTGGTGATGATATTGTAGACTGTGTGTCGGTCCACCTGCAGCAGAGACTTGGGGATGAGGGAGAAAGGAAATAAGGGAAGAAACTGCTTAAAGGATACCTTCAGTTGATAAACTATGTTCTACTTCACAACCTCTAAAGTGGACAATTCTCTTCATACCAGCATAAGATCAGCTAAGAGGAACTGCAGAGAAAGGGTATGGCTACTGACCTAGCAGCACAGTGGTGATGTTAGTGGCCCAAATCTATCTGATACATACCTTACTTTCTTTAGGTGTAGGAGGACACAGGTCAGATATAATTGCATTCAGCCTTCCCTTTCCTTATTCAATAACATGGTCATAAGTTCTGGAGTTCAGGACTTAAAATGGCATATGTTTGGCATCTAATTCTATTTATGTCAAAGGGTAGGAAATACAAGAGACTACCGACATGATTATCATCACTCACCTGTACATGTACCTCTTGGAAGATGGCTTTAAGCACAGAGACAGCAAGTCCTGGCGGCAGACCCACACAAAGGCTCTGGAGGAAAGGGAAGATAAGATATGGGAAAACTGAGGAAATTACAGTCCAGTCTCCAAGACGCAACCCTACAAGGGCCCCAGTTAGCTAGAGTGAACATCATAATATCCCGGTGTTTGGAAGAAGGCTAACAGTAAGAACTTTCTCTAGCTCAGTAGTTCTTTGCAGTTCCTTCCAATTCAGCTGCATTCTAGTCCCCCAAAGTATACTTCTATTCTCTAGAGTAAGATGTACAGTTGGGTGACACTAATTTATCCCACGTTTGGGCCTCTGTCCTTCAGCATGTGAAGCCCCACCCTCAAAGGGCAAGGAAGGAACTGGACAAGGGCTCTCACAAACACAGTTATGTAATGAAATGGAGTACTCACAAGTGCCCTCAAACCCTGCAGGACAGATGGGATCACAAGATGATGGTCTTTCAACCGGTTCTCATAGAACAGGATCAGGTGAACCACTGTACAAAACAGATTCAGCCCTCAGTTTATGCGGGGATAAGGAAGTTCCCCACCCCACCCCACCCCCCCGCCAGCTCTGCTCCGTTCCTAAGTCTGTAAGGCTCTTCCTTCACCAGGAGATATGTCCCATGCCCTCCCACATTTGATGGTGTCTTGATTAGGCGAAACAGGAAAACAGGGTAACCTCTTATTATCCATTCTCCCATAGATCCACAGTAAAAACCATTCTCTACCTCATAACTGCCTTTCTATATAACTGGGGTCTACACCTGGGAGGCTGAGGCAGGAGGATTGTGAGTTTGAAGTCAGCCTGGCTACATAGGTCAAGGGAAGCCTGGGCTACATTGTGAGACTCTTTCTTAAAAAAAAAAGGAATGGGGGGAGAACTTTAAAACTTTTTTTTTGGTGCCAGGGAATAACCCAGGGCCTTATGCACTCTTCAGCTCTTAAATTTTTAATTTTTTTTCAATATGTGTAATATATTTTGATTATATTTACCCCCCACCCCATGATGTTGGAGATTGAACCCAGGACCCGAAAACATTTTCTTAAAGGGCTAGATAGTAAGGATTATAGGTGTATAGGACAATTTCTGTAGCTATTGCTCAAAATCTGCCACTATCGCCTAAAAGTAGCATAGACAATAGGCAAATAGGTGTGGCTGTATTCTGGCAAAACTTTTCCTCTCATCTTAAAAATACTACTTTGTCCATTTTATAAAGTGGGGAAAATACACTGAAAAAATTATCTAAGGCTATATTTGAAATCCATGTTTCTTGTGTCTCAACTTTAATCACCTCTGCCCACATAACAGTGAAGAAAAGATTGAATGAGCTCATACATTATGCCCTCTCTTCCAGTAATGATGGCTTGAATAGACATAGAATGTCTTGGGTCAGCAATCTAGGAAGACATTCCTACTAGTGATGCCAGTACCTTCCTTCTCCAGGAGCAAGGAGTGACACTGGAGCAGCACCTGTGACAAAAGCTGGATACCCCGTGCCCGAGTCTGGGGTTCAGGATTCTCCAGAGAGGACCTGGAAGAGAGCAGGAGGGGAGAATCTACCATTACCCAGTTCAACCATTTACAGGAATAAATATTTTGCAATCAGTCACACTCATTCACTGGGCACATGAGAGTTAAGCTCTGTTAAAAACAGTACTAGGAGGTGTTCCTGAGGTGTATTACAGACACAAGTATGGACCACGACCAGAAAAACTAACTCTCAATCTGATCCAGCATCATTAGAGGCACATCTGATACCCACAGCCAACTGAAGTTTTTTTTTGTCTCCAGACACCCTTAGTTGGCAACTAATGGGTATTGTGTTCTTTTTCCCTGTGGTATGAAGGACTGATATTCCTCTGAAATAGAGCTTAGCAGCTACCTACAGAGCTTGGAAGATGACTGGTAACTGCAGATCCTACCAAAACAGAAGAAAGATATATTTTTGTAAATTTCTGCTAAGGGAAAAAATGCTAAGAGCAAACACCAAGGTGTGTGTGTGTGGTTGCATAATACAAAACACCCAGAATTTTAAAACTGGAAGGTTATAGAGATGGCCAGAATAAAGGTTTTAACCATTTTAATATTGTTGATATGGAAGAAGCTGGACTGAAGAAACAAAATGATTTCTCTTCAAGATATCTCTACAAACATTACACTTAAACATACTAAAGGTAATCTAAACATACTAAAAGTAATATAAGCAGGAACAAGCAGGAAGTAGAATAATTCTGGAGAGGAGCCAGCCACCACAGTTACAGTAAATCTCTAGGATAAAGGTACATATGATGATGAGCAATGAGGCAAAAATAAGACCACTCCTGACAGGATCTCTAGGGAACCTGTGGAAAGGTTTCTGCTCAAGAAGAAAACTATGTATTCACATTATAATTGGATCTAGGTATATGAATGTTTATAGTAGCATTTTATTTTTATTTTGGTACCGGGGATTGAACTTGGGACCTTGCGCTTTCAAGGCAGGTGCCAGAACCACTGAGCTAAATCCCCGGCCGCATAGAAGCATTATTCAGAATAGCCAAATAATGGAAACAACCCACATGTCCAGCAGCTGATGAAAAATTGTCCAAATTGTAGATCTGTACAATGAAATACTACACAGCAAGCAAAGAAATGTAGAACTGACATATACTACAACATGGTTGAACCTTGAAAACATCCTCAGTAAATGAAGCCAATCACAAAGATCGTATATTTGATTCTATGAACATGATATTTCTAAAATGGGCAATACAGAGAGACTTCCAGGGGCTGGGAATGGATGTGAGTATGAGTTTCTTTTCAGAGTAATGAAGATGTTCTAAAATTGATCACAAGGAGGAATACACAAATCTGTAAATATACAACTAGAAGCCATGAGGAGCGGGCACGATGGCATGAGCTTGGAATCCTAGCATTCAGGAGGTTGAGGCAGGAGGATCCCAAGTTCAAGGCCAACCTGGGCTACAATGCAAGTTCAGGGCCAGCTACTACACAATGAGACCATGTATTTAAAAAAAAAAAACAGTACAAAAATACACACTTTAAAATGGTGAACTTTATAATACATGAATTTTATTTTAATAAAATCATAAGGTATATACAAAGGCCAAATGGTTTCTTATGTGGGAGAAATACTTACCAGTTTAATTTCCATTTTCTAGTTTTCCATTTTAGAAGACATGTTGGCTATGACAGTTAACAATTCTTGCTAATAAGACTTGTCAATTTAAATAATGTGCTAAGTATGAGTTATGAGAAAAGTAGACATTAGACTATAAGCACATATTTTCTTTTGGTACCAGGGATTGAACTCAGGACCCTGGACTTGCAAGTCAGGCACAGCACCACTGAACTAAATCCCTGGCCCAACCACATATTTTCTCTGGTGCTTAGATCCCAAGGTTATAACATCACTGCTTTTTCAGCCCTTTCTCCAACCCTTTTCCTTTAGTAAAATCTGGTGCAAGATTAGCCTCTGGCTACTTCTTAGGGCCCACTGCTCCTTTGAGTCAGGTTTGGGCCTATTAGAATCCTGTATGGGTTGGGTGTGTCTAAAGAAGCACAAGACTCTCAGCTCTAATTAAGCAACAGTTGATGGCCTTCAACCATCTACCTCACTCCCAACCTGTGGGCTGAGTCAGGAGATAAAGTGGCCTCCCAAATATTAAAGAATCTCAGCCACGCAGCATGAACCCCCCTTTTCCAAAATCAATTCAAAACAAAGGCCTGACCTGAGATACTGATGAGGATGTGTGTGTGGTGTGATGGCTACTGAAGAAAACCAGGTTTCAAGAAAGCAGGAAGGCACAAAAGTAACTTTTTCAGAGTTCATAGGCAGGGCTGGAAGAACATTCTAGAACAGAGTCTCTTACCCAAGGGCTTCAACCACTTGTAACACTGTATAGCTGCCGGATTTCACATCTAGAGGAAACAAAGAAATATGAAAAAACGAAAACACAAAAACAAACCCCCTATTGCAGCATTCAATGATCCTAATTACCAGTGTTTCTGGGGCCCACTCTGCCAAGAACCCCTCACAGATAAAAAACATTACTGTAACACTTCAGATATACAGCTTCAAGTACAAAAGCTGAAAAGGAAGTAAGTATATCATTTGCAGATGACATGGCTATATATCTGGAAAACCCAAGAGAAATTAAAACATAAACAAAACAGTTAAGTAGCTACATACAAAATTATTATAAAATTAAAAACTTTCACCTGTATACACACAATAGCCTATAAAATGATATAAAGGAAAAAAGATTCTATTTATAATAGCAAAAAGGGGGTGGGATGGAAACACTAGAAACTTAGTTTAAAAAAAGTACAAAATCCAAATCATAAAAACTTTACTAAAAAAAATTTTCTGTGGAGACAGTATCTCGCTAGGTTGTTTAGGCTGGCCTCGAACTCACTATATAGTCCAGGCTGGCCATGAACTAATGGCAATCCTCCTGCCTCAGCCTCATGAGTGCTGGGATTACAAATGTGCACCACTATGTCTGGCGTTACCATATCTTAAAAACTTTAAAACACTAGTGTGAAATCACCTCACAACTGTTATAATCACTATTATAAAAATGACTGAGACAAAAAGTAGTAACGAAGACGAAGTGAAAAGGGAAGTGGGGCCAGGGATTTAGCTCAGTGGTTCCGCCACCTGCCTTGCCAGCGCAAGGTCCCGAGTTTGATCCCTGTACCAAAAAAAAAAAAAAAAAAGAGAGAGAGAAAAGGGAAGAATACTTGTACACTACTGGTGGGAATGTAAATTGGTATAGCCACCAAGAAAACAGTATAGAGGTTCCCCAAAAAATTTAAAATAAAACTACCAAATGACCTACCAATCCTACTTCTAGATATATTTTCCAAAGGAAATGAAATCTGTATCTGAAGAGATGTCTGCACACCCACTTCACTGAAGCATTATTCATAATAGCGAAAAGCCGGAAATAGGATGGAAGAAGCTATATGGATAATGATAACAGGACAAGATCTAAAAGCAGAATGGTGTGTATACTGTGCATAGTATGTGCACAGCATTGTTTTTAAAAAGAAGAGGGATTGTTTTTATTACATTTGTTTACATCTTTGGAAGATATAGCAGGAAATAACACTGGTTGCCTCCAGGAAGACAACGAATAGCTAAGGACTGAGAGATAAGACTTTTTAAAGAAACATATTATTTGGGAAGATTTTACATTTATAGAAAATCTGCCAATATAGTAGAGAGTTCCTGTATAACCCTTACCTCTTTTCCCCTAAGGCAGTGATGGCAAACCTTTTAGAAACCAAGTGCCCAAGCAGCAACCCAAAACCCACTTATTGCAATTAAGCCTGAATACTGAGGTTTCAATTCAGAAAAACAACTCATACATTTGGCTCATGTACCAACAGAGAGGGGTCCGAGTGCCAGCTGCAGCATATGTACCATAGGTTTTTTTTTTTTTTGGTACTGGGGATCGAACTCAGGTCCTTGCACTTGTGCAGCAGGCAGCGAAACCACTGAGCTAAATCCCCGGCCCTGTACCATAGGTTTGACACCACTGCCCTAAAGGGTTTGTTTGATCAGGTTTTTTGATCAGGTTTAGACTGACGAGGTTAATTTTTTTTTTCAATATTGGGAACTAAACCCAAGACTTTTGCTGTAAGCTACATCTCCAACCCTTTTTTTATTTTGAGACAGTGTCTTGCTAAGCCACTAAACTGCTCAGGGTGGGCTTGAAATTTCAGTCCTCCTGCCTCAGCCTCCCAGAGTGCTGGGATTATAGGCATGCATCACCATGCCTGGCTGGATGTGCTATTGTTATTAGGCTTCTAGGCTCTCTCAACAGAGAGCTGGAAATATATGTATGTTTTGTAACTTACACCACACAAACATACATCACTATTTTCCTGTGTATATATATTTAAACAAGATCATATTAAATCTCCAACTTTAATCCAGTAATACAGGGTTCATTTTAGCCTTCCTCCTTTATTTGTAATTTCATTCTCTAACAGTGAGAAAATTGGCTCCCATTATCTACTCTTTATTATTTGTTCAACTCTGGAATGGCTGTAAATTATTTTCAGAATTGTCAACTCTCCTGAAAAACAAATTTATATACAGGGTACAGTGTTTATATATAATTTGATTTTTACTCTTACAGTATCCAGACAAAATATTGTTTTACAAAGTCACTTAGGTTACCACTTTCCTCTTCTCCCCTTCATGTGTGTTATACACTAGCAAAACAAATTCTCCCCTTTTTTTGGTACTGGAATTGAACTCGGGTCCTTGCGCTTGTGAGGCAGGCAGCAGAACCACTGAGCTAAATCCCCGGCCTACTAGCAAAACAAATTCATTTGTCACTCTATATTCTATCTGGGGATGGAAGGGAAACCTTTTTGTATCATTTAACACCTTTTGAATGTTGTTCCAGACAAATATCTTAGCAATTCTAGAAGCACTAAGCCAACACACAGAATTAACAGAAGTTCTTAGTTTATAGTTTAAAGGAAGAAACAAAGAGTAAAAAATTATTTTCATTTAACATAGAGAAGGTCTTGCTAATGACAGTATAGTAATCAGGGAAGTATTCCCAGCAGCTTATTCTGCGTTCCTCACCCACCTACTTCTATCAGACCTTATCTAGCCACACCTCAATAACACAGGAAAAAATGAGAAAGAGGCTTGAGAACAAATTCTTAAACTTCCAGTTTCCCTTAAGTCTCTTGTCTCATAGCAACAGTTGTGAGCTGAGCTGGGCAGAGATTCACTCTGGTACTAGAGTAAGGAAAAGTTCAACCAGATGGAGAAAAGGAGAGGTCCAGTCAGGATTCATAGCTTGTGACTGGCACCAATTTAGAAATCAGGGACTCTTAGCCCTACTCTGTCAGGAGGTGGAAGGCCCAGCTGCTGCCCAGATCCTGAGAAAGAGCCAATGGAAAAAAAGAACTGGCTGCAGGATGGGGGAAGGGGCAGTAATCAGGCACACAGGACCAACAAGAGAAGGAACTGATAGTTGGGTCCCATGCCCAACTCCTTAAAGACAATGCTTTCATGGCTGGGGATTTAGCTCAGTGGTTTCGCTGTCTGCTGCACAAGCACAAGGACCCAAGTTTGATCCTGGTACCAAAAAAAAAAAGATAATGCTTTCATGGGCCCGGGATTTAGCTCAGTGGTGCCACTGCCTGCCTTGCAAGCACAAGGTCCTGAGTTCGATCCTCGGTAGTAAAAAAAGAAAAGAAAAAGAAAAAAAAGTCAACACTTTGTTGAAGACAAACACCTATTTCTGGAATATGAACCATTAAAGAACTTTGTACCATTTGGAAGGATAGAAAACGGTGCTTTCTTGGAATAAATACCCTGGCTACAGTCTAGGAAACTGCTGAATAAAACCCCCTAAAGACCAGTATCAGTAGAGACCACAGGAGTTAGCAACTGTACACAGGAAGCCACAGCGAATTTGTAACTGTTAATAGCAAACGACATCATTGAACTGAATTGTTTTTCTTCAGTAACACCATCAAAAACCTCTGTAGATGCTATCTTTGTAGTTTATCTTTGGAAATACCTCAAGCGCTATAGATCAAAGACCTGTCTGATGGACCACACTTAGTTGCCTCTATTTTTTTGATTTAAAAAAAAATGAGGTAGGGGTTTGGGGTACAGCTCAGTGGTAGAGCTTAGCATGTTTGGGGCCCTCTGAGTAATTCCTAACACCAAAAAAAAAAAAATAAAAAAAAAAAAAATTTACATATAGAAAAACACAGATATTAAGTGTACAGTTTGGTGAATAACCAATGCCCCAATCAGAATACAGAATATTTGTACTAGCAGGAAAAGTCCTTCACACCCGTTCCCAGCCAATTTCCAATCCCAGAGATTGCCTCAAATTTTGTAACTAAAAATTATTTTTCAGCATTCATTATACATCAATATGAAACTGGCTCCTTTATTACTATAAAGAAACATCTATTTGCATGTGATTCCTTGCACCTCTGTATGCGGGTGAACTCTCCTGGTGGAGCTCTTTAGTGATCACAGCTTTCACAAGGATCCTATCTTTGTTTTTTTTTTTTTTGGTACCAGGGATCGAACTCAGGACCTCGCTCTTGTGTGGCAGGCGCCAGAACTATTGAGCTAAATCCCCAGCCCCTTTGTTTGTTTTTTGAGACAGGGTCTCATTATGTAGTTCAGGCTTGGCCTTGAACTATGTAGGCCAGGCTGGCCTCCAACTCAAGGCAATTCTCCTTCAGCCTCCTGAGTGCTGGGATTACAGGCATGCATCATCACATCCAGTTTACAAGGATCCCATCTTAATGTAACACTGAGGGGTGGAGAGGGAGAGTTGTACAAAAGTTGTACAAAATTAGGAAAAAGATGAGATAATACAACTATCAAATCACAGAAAGTAGTAGTTTTTAAAAATGGGGAGTAAGCTAGTAAAACACTAAAATCAGTATTTTGGGGATATTTTCCTGTGACAAAATTTAAATTTTTTTTTTTTTTTTTGGAGATAGCATTAGGCTGGCCTTGAACTCACTATGTAGCCCAGGGTGGTCTCGAACTTGTGGCAATCCTCCTGCCTCAGCCTCCCAAGAGCTGGGATTATAGGCATGGGCCACCAGGCTGGGCCTAAATTTAACATTTTACTCTAATTCTGATGAGTCTACCTCACAAATAAGTCTTCAAATATGATGCCTCCTTTTCATTCCTATAACCACACCAAATAGTGACTATCTTCAAAAAGTCTTTCGGGCCAGGGATTTAGCTCAGTGGTTCCAGCTCTTGTTGCACAAGTGCACGGCCCCCAGTTCGATCCCCAGTACCAAAAAAAAAACAACCCCACAAAAAGTCTTTCACTTTTGGGCATGATGAAAATGTTCTTGAATTTTTGTTTTATTTTTTGGTACTTGGATTTTACTTTTTAAAA